CATTGGGGTCGAATAGTTTCATCGCTGACTTAGGCAGTATGCAAGGGATTGGATAGGTTTCAGCGGCAGTTAGAGAAGTAGGAAGTCATAAGCAGGATAACTGGAGTTCAACTTTCTTCTAACTCCAATCAAATTACCTGTAGCATTTCTCCTCCCTCTCCATGGAACTCCATTCATTGAACCTTCAAGTAGAGGGTCATCAAAACTGAAAAGGTTGAGGGTAGGCTTTGAAGCATGGCAGTATAACTAACATGATCAGCGGTACTTGATCTCGATTGCAAGTAATGTTGGTACAAGCTTTAATTTGTGAAAAGAAGCACTACAGTTTTAGCTCCTTTAAAGGAACGAGGCCCTTAAAGTTATTGCTGTTTACAGCAGACGGAGCCCTGAAAGCTCGAAGGTACCTGCCACAAGGGCAGCAGATGCTGCTCAACGTCGCAGGAGGAGCACGGCCGAGCTTTGGCTGGAAAGCGATCGGGGTGGAGGGTTTAAGGTCCAGAGGTCGGGGTTCAGGGTTTCGGGTTTCAGGATTTGGAGTTTAGGGTTTTAGGATGTTAACCCTAGACCCTAAGCCCTAAACCCTAAACCCTACATGATGCTAGGGCTTTGGGGTTGCAGGGTTTCGGGTTCAGGGCTTAGTGTTCGGGGGAGCTTCGGGTCGAGGATCCCGGGTTCAGTGTGTCAGGTTAGGGTTTAGGGTTTAGGGTTTAGGGGTTTAGGGGTTAGGGGTTCAGGGGTTTAGGGGTTTAGGGGTTATATATAGGGTTTAGGGGTTTAGGGGTTCAGGGTTTAGGGTCTTCCGGAGTTTTGGTTTCGCTTGTTTGGGCTTGGGGTTCAGTGTTTATTGAGGTTTTAGGGAACGGGGAGGTTTAGGGTTTGGGTTTGGGTTCACGGCAGTTTGAGGTAGGGGAGAGTTTGGTTTAGGGTTTCGCATTGAAAGCTTGCGGCAGAATCATGTTTGTTTTCATATGGGAGTTTCCGAAAATTAGGGTGTACCTGATTTGGGGTCCTTATAATAAGGATCCTAACATTGGGGTACTATATTCGGGTCCCCTATTCCGGAAACCCCCATATCATCCCACAAGCCTCTCAAACCCACCCAGGCAGGCCTAGTGCCGTTGCTTTCTCTCGCCACCGAGGTGCCGGGAGTGGGAGGGCTCGGTTTCTGGGTTTTGAGGGTTTAGGGTAAAAGGGTCCTAGGTCTTCAGCCCACAACCCCTAAACCCTAAACCCCCCTAAACCCTAAATCCTAAGCCATAAAACTCGAGCCCCTAAACCCTAAGTCCTATATCCCTTAAACAAAACCCAAAAAACCCCTGCAGTCGACGCCCTGAATCTCGAAACTCCCCGAATTGGGGGGCGACGTGCAAGGTTTCGGATCGGACCCCGGCACGATGAAGTTGATTTTGATGCATCTTCTTGGTATTCTCCAAAACCCCCACGCTCTACAGCAGAGGAAACCCCAGAAAGTCGGAACATGAGTTTCGTTGCTGGGATTCTGTTCTAACTTTCTGGCTACGTTCTGGCTTGTACTTTAAGCCTCCTGAGCCCCCAACCCTAAATCCCAACCCTCCCTCTCCAAACTTCCACCACGGCTCGTCGCAGGTTGCCACTCGTCACAAACCGCTGATCTGTGGAGGGCTCTTGTTCCCTTTAAAGTTGAAGGTTTCGGGTTTAGGGTTTAGGCGTTTAGGCTTTAGGGTTTAGGGTTTAGGTTTCGGGTTTAGATGAAGCGGTTCAGGGCTCAAACCCTCAGGGTTTGAGATTTCTTTAGGCATTTGCAGGAAGGCTCTGTTGCAACAGCCTTTCGAGAGACGATAGGCTCGAAAAAGTCCTAAGCCGATAGGAATCTGTCTCCCAGAAATTGAGGGCAGGAGTGCAAACCCTGCCTCACTTCTTGTTTATCTTACTATTCTTTGTAGTCTTTAAGATCACACTAGTTAGAAGCGAAGAGATGGATATAGAGGTGATGATGCGTTCCAAGCTCCGCGCCAGCGGTATGCTGGGCTTGTTCCGGGTTCGACAATCAAAGGGGAAAAGGAGGGACCCTTAATGGGGACCCCTACCCTATAATGGGCTATGTAATGGGTATATAATGGCTATATTAAGGGTATATCCTTATTAAGGGTCCCTCCTTTTACCCTTGGAGACAATAGAATGGAAGCCCTGATAGTCAAACTCCCCCTTGTATCATGATCACTACCACAAGCGCAGTAACGCTTACCCCCACCTTAACCCCTGCCGCCACATCCACGGCAAATGCATGCATGACACTAAACCCTACATCCTAAACCTTACATGCTCGTTGCTACTAAAGATGCAGCCCAGTGAGCCTGAAGAGCCCTTCACCTGCAGAGCCCATGGGCGCTGAACCTTTTCACTCCCCCTCCCCGCGTCTCGCACATGCGAGGCAAGGTTGCCAGGCTTCATCACAGAGGGTTTGGGCTTTATGGCTGATGAGGGTTTTAGGGCTTAGGCTTTGGGTTTTGGGTTTAGGTTTAGGGTTTGGAATTTAGGTTTTGGGTTTGGGCTTTAGGGTTTAGGAGTTTTACGGGTTTCAGGGTTGATCTGTCTGTAACAAAACGGTGCGTGTGTCTGTCGCAGATTGTCATGGTAGCAGTTGCTGTCGTTGTCTTAGTTGCAGCAATAGTGGTAATCAGTAGTAGTTGAAGGCGTGGTGGGATGTAGGCATTTATCAATCTTTCGGGGCACTGCTCGGACCCCTGAACCCTGAAATCCCAAAACCTTGAATCCCTAGACCCTAAACCCCTAAACCCTAAAACCTTAAACCCCTAAACCCTAATGCCTTAAACCCCTAAACCCTAAACCCTAAAACCTTAAACTCCTAAACCCTGAAACCTTAAACTTGAAAGAACGCAGAAGATGAAGCCGGCAGCCTGGCGCGAGAGAGTCACAGCACACAAGTGGTGGAGAGAAACGAGTCCTGGGCTTTGGTCGTCCATGTGCCTACCAGTACTGCTAGCAACTATTGCAGTATATTATTATTATTATTATTATTGTTGTTATTGTGCTTAGTACCAAACATGTTTAATTGTTCTCTTTGTTACTATTAGAACCATTATTACTATCATCATCAGTTTTATTGTTGTTAACGTTAGAAGGTATTGTTTCTGCTACTACTAAAAGCTACAAAAACAGCAACAACAACAACTGCCACCAATACTACTGCTACTACTGCTACTACCAGTACTTACTGCTGACTACGACGACGACGACGACGACGACTACTACTACTACTACTACTACTACTACTGCTGCTATACTACTACTACTACTACTACTACTACTACTACTACTACTACTACTACTACTACTACTACTACTACTACTACTACTACTACTACTACTACTACTACTACTTCTAACACTACTACGACTACGACTACGACTACGACTACGACTACGACTACGACTACGACTACGACTACGACTACGACTACGACTACGACTACGACTACTACGACGACGACGACTACTACTACTACTACTGCAAAATATTGCTGTCATTGGTATTTCGACTATTCTTCATTAACATTATCAACATCATCATCACCATCATTAATAGTCGTAGAAGTGGTAGGAGGTGGTGGTGGTGGTGGTAGCAGCAGCACCAGCAGCAGCAGCGGGAGGAGGAGGAGGAGTAGTATAGACAACAGCAGCAATAATAAAATTATCATAATAAAATAAATTTTCGATGTTCATGATTATCACAACTATTGTCTTTCTTGTTAGCCTCCGTATCACTCTTATGGGTTCATCTCAGTATTGTGGCTGTGCTCGATGGTGATGATGACGAGAAAATAAATCAAAGCTGAGTGCCATTTTGATCGCGATGATTCCGAGGATGATGAGGACGATAAGGGCGGCGGTGATCATCATGGTTGCGATGATGTTGTTGGCAACGATGACGACGATGATGGTAATGGCGGTGGTGATGATAGTGACGCAGATGATGATGATGATGACGAGGCTATCATGCGCTTGGCCCGAGTGAAGTTGTGGTGGAAGCCCTCACGAGACTGTGTCATGGGGACCAAAGACATGAAGATGAGGAGGTAGATGGTCCACACGCCCCACCCCATGCCTGTCGTACCCTCAGGCAGTAAACCCTGTACGCAACACCTAGAACCCTATACCCGAAACCCTAAGAAACTCCTAAACCCTATACCAAGAATCCCCCTAGCAGCAAACACTCCACCTGAGGAGACCCTGTCATTTAGTATCATTGTTATAACTTTCGTCATTTTTCATATTTTATTCTTGTGATTTTCATGATCGTTACCAACTACGATTGTTCATGCTGTTAGGGCAGTTATTTGTACTATCACAATGGTTATAGTTATTCTCATTGTTTCTCCGAGACTGTCCGCTGACTAAGCTGAGCAAAGCTTCAAAGCTCGCAGCCCGCCACCAAATCCCAAAACAGTCTGGGGTTTTGTGGTTAGGAGTTTGGGAAATGTAGGAGTTTAGAAGTTTGGGTGGTTTGGGCTTAGGAGCTCAGGGGCTCAGTGGGTTCTGATTTAAGAGTTTAGGGGCGTCAAAAAATAGAAAACACCCTACCCCCCGCGAAGGTGAGATTGTGATTTGGATGCTTTGTGCAATTCAGACGTTTGAAGGATTTGGGATGGTCTTGGGTCAATCTTGGGTTAAAGGGTTATAAAACCCAGGATTTAGGGTTGAGGGTTTAGAGCTGGTTTGGCAAAGAAGGGCCTGCAATCTCTCAAGCAGTCTGCAGCATGTCGGCTTCTTTCACGGAGCACTTCCTCAGTTTCCGTGCATTCCGCAGAACGCGAAGCTAGTAATATAGGGGCCTAAATAATCACCAATACTGTTTTGGGGGTCCTCATTATGACTACAATAACAACAAAATTATATATATATATATATATATATATATTCATAGAAAATGTACCCCAAAATCCTATTGTAATGTTTAAGGCCCCTGCAGTGCAATTCGAGCCGTAGTTGCGGTAGCAGCAATGGATCTGTCTGATGTTCAGCAGCAGATGTGCCTGGGTCCTTTTTGACAGCAACCCCTAAACCCTGAAACCCCCAAACACCCTACCTTTTTTAGGGGTTCCCTAATATGATTTCTTTATATACGTCCTTAAAAAAGGTAGGTTACTTGGGGTTAAGGTAAACCTCAATATCCCAAACCCCTAAGCCCTAAACCCTGGACCCTAAACTCTAAACCCCTAAACCCCAAACTCCAAATCTCCCTCACCACGATGTTTTAGGGTTTGGCCTGAGGTGCATCTAGATCCACGCACCCCAAGCCCCGATCCCGAAATCCTAAACCCGAGATGTCTCCATGAGGCAACGATGTATCTGATGCGAAAAGCTGAAAAGCCCGAGATTTCAACAAACCTGGTCCTGTCTTCTACCGATTCGAGTTCTTATTTCGCAATTGACATGTCCCAGGGTTTTTTAAAGCAATAGTGCTACTACGACTGGGAAGCAAAAGCAGCTGCAAAGCCGAAATTACACTATGGGATCCACTTCCAGGGCAGTGTCTTGCTGGTACTACACCTTGCGGAGCAAGCACACGAGCAAGATTGGATCGTCAAGAACAAGGCAGTATGTACAGAGTTTTCGGGCTCAGGATTGCATAGGGTCGGAATAATTTCTAATAGCATTCCCTTGCTATCCTAACTGAAATCTACTAAAGCGTAGGACCGTAGGACTCCTGTATGATGCACCCATTAGAACCCTGTCCGGTTCCTGTGCGGAAGCTTCCATGCTCTATGTAACTTCTATCGGAAGCCACAAGCCCCTAAACCTCTGAAACCTCTCCTAACCCTAAACCCTAAACCCTAAACCCCTGCACTTAGAAAATAAAAACCCTAAACCCTAAACCCTAAACCCCTGCACTTAGAAAATAAAAACCCTAAACCCTAAACCCCTGCACTTAAAAATACAAACCCTAAACCCTAAACCCTAAACTCCGAGTCCCACACCTTTCTACCCCTCGTAAATCCCAAACCGCGACCCCAAGGCGATGAATCCCTGGAAACCACGAAAGCTCTAAACCCGTACACCCAAGACCTCCGCACCCGAAACGCCCAAAACCCAAGAGTCCGCAAGCCCCAGCCGCCCCAACCCCCCAAAACTCGGAGACTTTTGACCCCTAAACCACGACATTCCCTGCGCATGATACTACCCTTAGAGATCCCTTGTCGTAGCTCTTCCAAACGAACGGTAGTGCCTCCTAACTCCCTAAACCTCCACCCACAGACCTTTGAGGTACCCTAAACCCTAAACCCTAAAACCTCCACCCACAGACCATTGAGGTACCCTAAACCCTAAACCCTCTAAACCTCCACCCACAGACCTTTGAGGTCTAGCGGCCTCAACTTTGGCATGATGCAAGCGCTGCGAACGGGCAACCCGCGCCTTGGCCTTTCCTGTACCATGGGTGGTTGTCAAAATTATGGTCCTTTTTTGGCGTCCCTATATTTATACAGCACCTCATATTTAGGATACCCAAAAAAGGGACCATCGTTTTGACAACCATCCATATACTTTGGTATAGTCTGGTAGAGCTCATAGGGTATATTGTGTTGTGGTATATGGTGACGGGTGCTTGAATGTGTAGGGCAGGGGCTCCTATGTTGAGGGTTGAAGGTTCGGGGATTGGGGGCTAACCCGGTTTAGGCTTTAGGGTTTTTACAGTTTAGGATTTAGGTGCTTATGGATTAGGGTTTCGGGGGCGTAGATTTTCGGGTTCAGGGGTTTAAGGTTTCGGGCCCGGGGTTTGCAGGTTTCTGTGCAGAGTTCCTTTCGGTTTTACTCTAACGCCTGAACCTTTAACCCTACGGCTACAAGACGCGAGGGTTTAAAACACAACCTTAGAATGTAGACCTAGGGGAGTCCAGAGGGCCATCAAACTTGCGCTCCGGACTCCTGCTTTGACCCTAAACCTTAAACCCTAAACCCCTAAACCCTAAACCCTAAACCCCTAAACCCTAAACCCTAAACCCTAAACCTACACCCTAAACCCTAAAGCGTGCTTCAAGGATCCTGGACGTGTTAATCTGCATGCTCATCCCGGTCCTCTTCAGCTTCCTGCTAGGGCAGAACACCTCTGATCCGCTGAGCTCGAAGTGCATCGATTCTGCACGCTATGTGCTCCGCGGCTACATGCTGAGGGACCTTTTTGGATTGGGGTGTATCCTGTCTGTCGCTCTTGTTCCTTCCCGCGTCTTCTTCGTTATTCATCATCAACTTCATCAGCAGTGATTAGATCCTCCTGACTAATTTTCGTTGTCGTGGCTGTTATTAATTAATTCGAGCGACCGCCTTTCGTGTCGCTTCATCAGTGTCGTCCTCCTCTGCATGAGAAGCATTGTCTGTGTTTTGGTCATGGACCCCTCATTATCTCGGCAGGGTCATGAATTGTGGTGCTGCTGGACGAAGGGTTGTATACTGTGTTTCTTGCGTGTGTTTGAGTCGGTGGCGCAAGGTATGACTTCATTACTGGCACGAAAACGTACATTCGACGTGTCGAGTACGAGGACGTGTTACCACGACCGGAGGGAGCCATGTCCTCGCCCCTCACCCCACGCCCGAGCTCTGCAGTCCCCATGCCCGAAACAGAGATCCTAAGCGTTGAAGATGTTGCGTTGTTTTTTAGACTTGGAGAGATTTGGATTGTCCGCGCTTCAGAGTCGCTGCAGGACCGGGGCCAACGCTACATCGGAGATGATCGGACTGCTCTGGATACCTCCTCACGCAACAACATCTTGCAGAAAGCTATCAAGATTTACTTGCAAGAGAAATGTTCGCTGGAAATCGACGACGCTGAAGTGTTCCTCCTACCACAGAAGGAGATCAAGCTGGAAAAAGATCAGTACGGGGATGTGTGTCTCTTCAGTGGCAGAGACTATGCGGCACTTGACTAATCTTCGGATAGTGTTCACTTTGACGTGCCTAGTGGCGTCCTTGCCGCAGAATTGCCAAGTGTCTCGCCTCAACAGGCTACAAACAGCTATTGGCCTACTCCGTCAACCGGCTGCCAAAGAAGGATCACTGGATTGTTGCTGGGTTCTTGTTAAGTTACTAAGTTTCAGTTACCTCAATATAGGGACCTGTACCAAATAACATGGTTTCCTGACTATGGCACCTTTACCCCAAACCCTGAACCCTAAACCTAAATTTCCTAACAAGAACCCAGGTTGTGGATGATATGCATCCCAACCTCTACTTCCGACAGTCACTGGACGTTTCAGAAGAAGGCCCAGACGCAGCCATGGGTCTGACAGTGCCCGCCGGTGGATTTAGGTATGTGTATTTACGTATTCATGTATGTTTGTTTGTTGGCTTGTTTTTTGTATGTATGCATGTATGTATGTACGTATGTATGTAAGTATGTAAGTAAGTAAGTATGTATGTGTGTTTGCTTGTCAGCTTGATTGCTTGTTCGCGTGTTTGCTCGTTTGCTCGTTTGTCTGTTTGTCTGTCTGTCTGTCTTTCTGATTGTTTGATTGTATACATACATGTACTAACTTCGTTATTTGTATGTGTATATGTCTAATGATATATTGGGTAATCACTGTGGATGCAAGCCGTATTTCTGCCTTCAGACGTCTTGCCTCGTTGCGACCAGAGTATACTTAAAGGATCATGGGACTTAGTAACTGGGGTCATAATTAGGGTAACTGTACTTATAACTACTTTTAACCCCAGTTAAGGTACTTGTAACCTGATTTACTAAGTCCCATGATCCTCGAAGTAAGCCCAAGCCTGCAGGCTTTCCTTGTTGCCGCAGCCAGTTTTGCCCACAGCGAGCACTTAGCAGAGCGCAGTGGCAACCCGTGTCCTGAACATGAAGGTTTGTCTCGCAGCTGCTCTTGCTGCCGCCTTCACCGCGACAGCGATGTCGCAAGACTCCCCGGCGGAGCTCCTTCGTGAGCTGCAGGCCCAAAAGGCGTTGTTGGAGGAGCAGCGAAAGGAGCTGAAGCAGATGACCGAAACCCAGGAGAGCATGGCTGGCGCCATGGATTCGGCTTGGCTGGTCCTCTGTGGGGCTCTAGTCATGTTTATGCATGCAGGATTTGCAATGTTGGAGACAGGCTGCTGCCGCGCAAAGAATGCCTCAAACGTCCTGATGAAAAATTTGGTCAATGTGTCTTTGTCATAGTTGGGTAACATTTTTCCGTTTTTTAAGGGTACTGTAACCCAATATGAAGTAGCAAATTCGATGTTTACTACTATCCCAACCATGAACTAGGTGTCAGTCGGCACATTGGGTTGGTGGATGTTTGGCTGGGCCCTTGCCTATGGCTCCCAAGCCGGGTCTTTCATTGGCACAGATGGCTTCTTCGGCCTGGGTTTCTACACCAAAGATGCATCGGGCAACATCGTTCCGGTGGAGTGTGAAGACGGGAACTGCCAGTCCACGATGCTGAGTTGGTTCTTCCAGTGGGCGTCTAGGATTCTCAGCGGTATCCTTTTTTGTGTTTTTTTGTTTCTGGTTCCTGGTATATCTGGACCCGCCCCTAAAGTATATAGCCCCTAAAGTATATACTTTTGCCAGTGGGATACTGAGCAGCCCAGGCCTTCTGCACGGCTGGCACCAACCTGAGTTGTCGTGTCCTATCGTGTCCTTCTTTCGAAGAATGGCCGTAGCCCTAGATGGACCGGTGTGCATGCGTGCTTGAGTCTAGGCGCCACCATCGTGAGCGGATGCGTAGCGGAGCGTGTCAAGAGTCCCACCTACGCTTTCTTCGCCTTCTGCATGACTTCCTTTATTTACCCGGTTGTGGTAGCATGGACCTGGGGCGGCGGCTGGCTCGCCAGCATCTTCGATGTGGGATATATGGATTTCGCCGGCTCAGGCCAAGATTTCAGCACATAAACATAAACTATTGAAACCCACCCCTTGAAGGGATGTTACCTAAGAAGAGTGTGTCTCGGTGCCTCTTTCGGCCCCTAAACCATAGAACGTAGGCCCCAAACCCCTAAAGCCCTAAACCCTAAGTTCTAAAACCCTAAACCCTCCCTGAACCTACAGGTGTTGTCCATTTCACAGGAGGCGTTTGCGGCCTCGCTGGCACGGTCATCCTCGGCCCTCGGAGGGGACGCTTCGAGAATCCCGAGGAGTTCGAGTACCACAATGTCCCGCTGAGACTTGCTGGCACTTACCCCCAGCCCCAAATAATGATGTGCGATCTGTATGTTCGAATTTATTTACCTGGTTTATACATGTAAATATGTAAGACTATGTGCTGCGCGAGGTGTCACAAGAAAGCAACTAAGGGTCGTGCTCGGAACCTTCGCGCTTTGGTTCGGTTGGTATGGCTTCAACCCAGGCTCCACCCTCTCGATGCATGATAAGGAGATGGGTGCCCTTGCAGCACAGGTGGCCGGAAATTCTGAGTGTAGGAGTCCGTTTTGCCTCTTCTTACAACCTTAAAACTGGCGTCCTCGTGTCTGTCTATCCTTATCAGCTTATTGTCCACTTCCTCTTTTACACAGGTGGCAATGAACACCACTCTCTCCGCCGCCACCTGCGGGATCACCGTGTTCTTGCTGAAGTTCGTGCTCGTGCGCAAGTACGATGTCGGCGCGCTCTGTAACGGCATTCTTTCCGGCTTGGTGTCTATCACCGCGGGCTGTGGAAACATGGAGTGCGGCAGCGCTGTTCTCACCGGCTTCATTGGTGCCTTTTTCTACCAGGCGGCATCAAGTCTCCTTGTGAGATTGAAGATTGACGACCCAGTGGATGCCAGCGCAGTGCACGGAGCCTGTGGCATTTGGGGGCTTCTCGCCGCTGGTCTCTTCGATTGGGGGAAGGGCTTTGACCACTATCACGGCTGGAGCGGTTTCGGCTGCATGGCCGGCGATGATGGTGCATGCCGCAGCGGCTTGGGAGGCGCCGCCGTTGGAGCGCAGATTGTAATGATCCTCGCTATCATCGCATGGGCAGGTACGCTATCCACGCTGTCCTTCCTGGTCCTGAAGTTTTCGGGTCTTCTTCGTATTGGTGAGAACATTGAGAAGGTCGGCTACGACATGCATTCGCACTCTCCGCCGAAGGCCTACGCTTTCAGTGGCAACGACCCCAAGTCGTCGTCAAGTGAAGAGTCGGGGTCAGAGGGGTGCTTGTGAGTGGGAGGGGAAGCAGTGAAGCCCATCGGTGTTCATCCCATGGGCATGATTTTGAGTCCGATCATCAGGCCAGACCTTGTAGAGTCTCCTGATGGCGTTTAAGTGTCAAGGAGTCAGTGACCATCCGATGCGACCGTCACTGCTCAGGTGCACAGAAGTGGCCCACCATTCCCAGACCAGACCAGATCTGTCCATAGCAGTCCTGGAGCTGCACCACGCCCAGACGATAATTAAACACTGAGTCACAGCTTATTGGCAGCCTCGTCATTGCGCCATGTGATGATTCCCTCGCCCCGAAGTTTCCGGATCCCTAAACTCTACGACGGGTATCTTAAACTTGACATCCTGCGCGAAATCTTACTAAGAGTCCCCCCCATTCCAGCCTCTACTTCCGACAGTCACTGGATGCGACCAGCGTGAGCCCAAGCCTGCAGGCTTTCCTTGTTGCCGCAGCCAGTTTTGCCCACAGCGAGCACTTAGAAGAGCGCAGTGGCAACCCGTGTCCTGAACATGAAGGTTTGTCTCGCAGCTGCTCTTGCTGCCGCCTTCACCGCGACAGCGATGTCGCAAGACTCCCCGGCGGAGCTCCTTCGTGAGCTGCAGGCCCAAAAGGCGTTGTTGGAGGAGCAGCGCAAGGAGCTGAAGCAGATGACCGAAACCCAGGAGAGCATGGCTGGCGCCATGGATTCGGCTTGGCTGGTCCTCTGTGGGGCTCTAGTCATGTTTATGCATGCAGGATTTGCAATGTTGGAGACAGGCTGCTGCCGCGCAAAGAATGCCTCAAACGTCCTGATGAAAAATTTGGTCAATGTGTCTTTGTCATAGTTGGGTAACATTTTCCGTTTTTTAAGGGTGCTGTAACCCAATATGAAGTAGCAAATTCGATGTTTACTACTATCCCAACCATGAACTAGGTGTCAGTCGGCACATTGGGTTGGTGGATGTTTGGCTGGGCCCTTGCCTATGGCTCCCAAGCCGGGTCTTTCATTGGCACAGATGGCTTCTTCGGCCTGGGTTTCTACACCAAAGATGCATCGGGCAACATCGTTCCGGTGGAGTGTGAAGACGGGAACTGCCAGTCCACGATGCTGAGTTGGTTCTTCCAGTGGGCGTCTAGGATTCTCAGCGGTATCCTTTCTTGTGTTTTTTTGTTTCTGGTTCCTGGTATATCTGGACCCCGCCCCTAAAGTATATAGCCCCTAAAGTATATACTTTTGCCAGTGGGATACTGAGCAGCCCAGGCCTTCTGCACGGCTGGCACCAACCTGAGTTGTCGTGTCCTATCGTGTCCTTCTTTCGAAGAATGGCCGTAGCCCTAGATGGACCGGTGCGCATGCGTGCTTGAGTCTAGGCGCCACCATCGTGAGCGGATGCGTAGCGGAGCGTGTCAAGAGTCCCACCTACGCTTTCTTCGCCTTCTGCATGACTTCCTTTATTTACCCGGTTGTGGTAGCATGGACCTGGGGCGGCGGCTGGCTCGCCAGCATCTTCGATGTGGGATATATGGATTTCGCCGGCTCAGGCCAAGATTTCAGCACGTAAACATAAGCTATTGAAACCCACCCCTTGAAGGGATGTTACCTAAGAAGAGTGTGTCTCGGTGCCTCTTTCGGCCCCTAAACCCTAGAACGTAGGCCCCAAACCCCTAAAGCCCTAAACCCTAAGTTCTAAAACCCTAAACCCTCCCTGAACCTACAGGTGTTGTCCATTTCACAGGAGGCGTTTGCGGCCTCGCTGGCACGGTCATCCTCGGCCCTCGGAGGGGACGCTTCGAGAATCCCGAGGAGTTCGAGTACCACAATGTCCCGCTGAGACTTGCTGGTACTTACCTCCAGCCCCAAATAATGATGTGCGATCTGTATTTTTGATTTTATTTACCTGGTTTATACATGTAAATATGTAAGACTATGTGCTGCGCGAGGTGTCACAAGAAAGCAACTAAGGGTCGTGCTCGGAACCTTCGCGCTTTGGTTCGGTTGGTATGGCTTCAACCCAGGCTCCACCCTCTCGATGCATGATAAGGAGATGGGTGCCCTTGCAGCACAGGTGGCCGGAAATTCTGAGTGTAGGAGTCCGTTTTGCCTCTTCTTACAACCTTAAAACTGGCGTCCTCGTGTCTGTCTATCCTTATCAGCTTATTGTCCACTTCCTCTTTTACACAGGTGGCAATGAACACCACTCTCTCCGCCGCCACCTGCGGGATCACCGTGTTCTTGCTGAAGTTCGTGCTCGTGCGCAAGTACGATGTCGGCGCGCTCTGTAACGGCATTCTTTCCGGCTTGGTGTCTATCACCGCGGGCTGTGGAAACATGGAGTGCGGCAGCGCTGTTCTCACCGGCTTCATTGGTGCCTTTTTCTACCAGGCGGCATCAAGTCTCCTTGTGAGATTGAAGATTGACGACCCAGTGGATGCCAGCGCAGTGCACGGAGCCTGTGGCATTTGGGGGCTTCTCGCCGCTGGTCTCTTCGATTGGGGGAAGGGCTTTGACCACTATCACGGCTGGAGCGGTTTCGGCTGCATGGCCGGCGATGATGGTGCATGCCGCAGCGGCTTGGGAGGCGCCGCCATTGGAGCGCAGATTGTAATGATCCTCGCTATCATCGCATGGGCAGGTACGCTATCCACGCTGTCCTTCCTGGTCCTGAAGTTTTCGGGTCTTCTTCGTATTGGTGAGAACATTGAGAAGGTCGGCTACGACATGCATTCGCACTCTCCGCCGAAGGCCTACGCTTTCAGTGGCAACGACCCCAAGTCGTCGTCAAGTGAAGAGTCGGGGTCAGAGGGGTGCTTGTGAGTGGGAGGGGAAGCAGTGAAGCCCATCGGTGTTCATCCCATGGGCATGATTTTGAGTCCGATCATCAGGCCAGACCTTGTAGAGTCTCCTGATGGCGTTTAAGTGTCAAGGAGTCAGTGACCATCCGATGCGACCGTCACTGCTCAGGTGCACAGAAGTGGCCCACCATTCCCAGACCAGACCAGATCTGTCCATAGCAGTCCTGGAGCTGCACCACGCCCAGACGATAATTAAACACTGAGTCACAGCTTATTGGCAGCCTCGTCATTGCGCCATGTGATGATTCCCTCGCTCCGAAGTTTCCGGATCCCTAAACTCTACGACGGGTATCTTAAACTTGACATCCTGCGCGAAATCTTACTAAGAGTCCCCCCCATTCCAGCCTCTACTTCCGACAGTCACTGGATGCGACCAGCGTGAGCCCAAGCCTGCAGGCTTTCCTTGTTGCCGCAGGCAGTTTTGCCCACAGCGAGCACTTAGAAGAGAGCGGTGGCAACCCGTGTCGTGAACATGAAGGTTTGTCTCGCAGCTGCTCTTGCTGCCGCCTTCACCGCGACAGCGATGTCGCAAGACTCCCCGGCGGAGCTCCTTCGTGAGCTGCAGGCCCAAAAGGCGTTGTTGGAGGAGCAGCGAAAGGAGCTGAAGCAGATGACCGAAACCCAGGAGAGCATGGCTGGCGCCATGGATTCGGCTTGGCTGGTCCTCTGTGGGGCTCTAGTCATGTTTATGCATGCAGGATTTGCAATGTTGGAGACAGGCTGCTGCCGCGCAAAGAATGCCTCAAACGTCCTGATGAAAAATTTGGTCAATGTGTCTTCGTCATAGTTGGGTAACATTTTTCCGTTTTTTAAGGGTACTGTAACCCAGTATGAAGTAGCAAATTCGATGTTTACTACTATCCCAACCATGAACTAGGTGTCAGTCGGCACATTGGGTTGGTGGATGTTTGGCTGGGCCCTTGCCTATGGCTCCCAAGCCGGGTCTTTCATTGGCACAGATGGCTTCTTCGGCCTGGGTTTCTACACCAAAGATGCATCGGGCAACATCGTTCCGGTGGAGTGTGAAGACGGGAACTGCCAGTCCACGATGCTGAGTTGGTTCTTCCAGTGGGCGTCTAGGATTCTCAGCGGTATCCTTTTTTGTGTTTTTTTGTTTCTGGTTCCTGGTATATCTGGACCCGCCCCTAAAGTATATAGCCCCTAAAGTATATACTTTTGCCAGTGGGATACTGAGCAGCCCAGGCCTTCTGCACGGCTGGCACCAACCTGAGTTGTCGTGTCCTATCGTGTCCTTCTTTCGAAGAATGGCCGTAGCCCTAGATGGACCGGTGCGCATGCGTGCTTGAGTCTAGGCGCCACCATCGTGAGCGGATGCGTAGCGGAGCGTGTCAAGAGTCCCACCTACGCTTTCTTCGCCTTCTGCATGACTTCCTTTATTTACCCGGTTGTGGTAGCATGGACCTGGGGCGGCGGCTGGCTCGCCAGCATCTTCGATGTGGGATATATGGATTTCGCCGGCTCAGGCCAAGATTTCAGCACGTAAACATAAACTATTGAAACCCACCCCTTGAAGGGATGTTACCTAAGAAGAGTGTGTCTCGGTGCCTCTTTCGGCCCCTAAACCCTAGAACGTAGGCCCCAAACCCCTAAAGCCCTAAACCCTAAGTTCTAAAACCCTAAACCCTCCCTGAACCTACAGGTGTTGTCCATTTCACAGGAGGCGTTTGCGGCCTCGCTGGCACGGTCATCCTCGGCCCTCGGAGGGGACGCTTCGAGAATCCCGAGGAGTTCGAGTACCACAATGTCCCGCTGAGACTTGCTGGCACTTACCCCCAGCCCCAAATAATGATGTGCGATCTGTATGTTCGAATTTCTTTACCTGGTTTATACATGTAAATATGTAAGACTATGTGCTGCGCGAGGTGTCACAAGAAAGCAACTAAGGGTCGTGCTCGGAACCTTCGCGCTTTGGTTCGGTTGGTATGGCTTCAACCCAGGCTCCACCCTCTCGATGCATGATAAGGAGATGGGTGCCCTTGCAGCACAGGTGGCCGGAAATTCTGAGTGTAGGAGTCCGTTTTGCCTCTTCTTACAACCTTAAAACTGGCGTCCTCGTGTCTGTCTATCCTTATCAGCTTATTGTCCACTTCCTCTTTTACACAGGTGGCAATGAACACCACTCTCTCCGCCGCCACCTGCGGGATCACCGTGTTCTTGCTGAAGTTCGTGCTCGTGCGCAAGTACGATGTCGGCGCGCTCTGTAACGGCATTCTGTCCGGCTTGGTGTCTATCACCGCGGGCTGTGGAAACATGGAGTGCGGCAGCGCTGTTCTCACCGGCTTCATTGGTGCCTTTTTCTACCAGGCGGCATCAAGTCTCCTTGTGAGATTGAAGATTGACGACCCAGTGGATGCCAGCGCAGTGCACGGAGCCTGTGGCATTTGGGGGCTTCTCGCCGCTGGTCTCTTCGATTGGGGGAAGGGCTTTGACCACTATCACGGCTGGAGCGGTTTCGGCTGCATGGCCGGCGATGATGGTGCATGCCGCAGCGGCTTGGGAGGCGCCGCCATTGGAGCGCAGATTGTAATGATCCTCGCTATCATCGCATGGGCAGGTACGCTATCCACGCTGTCCTTCCTGGTCCTGAAGTTTTCGGGTCTTCTTCGTATTGGTGAGAACATTGAGAAGGTCGGCTACGACATGCATTCGCACTCTCCGCCGAAGGCCTACGCCTTCAGTGGCAACGACCCCAAGTCGTCGTCAAGTGAAGAGTCGGGGTCAGAGGGGTGCTTGTGAGTGGGAGGGGAAGCAGTGAAGCCCATCGGTGTTCATCCCATGGGCATGATTTTGAGTCCGATCATCAGGCCAGACCTTGTAGAGTCTCCTGATGGCGTTTAAGTGTCAAGGAGTCAGTGACCATCCGATGCGACCGTCACTGCTCAGGTGCACAGAAGTGGCCCACCATTCCCAGACCAGACCAGATCTGTCCATAGCAGTCCTGGAGCTGCACCACGCCCAGACGATAATTAAACACTGAGTCACAGCTTATTGGCAGCCTCGTCATTGCGCCATGTGATGATTCCCTCGCTCCGAAGTTTCCGGATCCCTAAACTCTACGACGGGTATCTTAAACTTGACATCCTGCGCGAAATCTTACTAAGAGTCCCCCCCATTCCAGCCTCTACTTCCGACAGTCACTGGATGCGACCAGCGTGAGCCCAAGCCTGCAGGCTTTCCTTGTTGCCGCAGCCAGTTTTGCCCACAGCGAGCACTTAGAAGAGAGCGGTGGCAACCCGTGTCCTGAACATGAAGGTTTGTCTCGCAGCTGCTCTTGCTGCCGCCTTCACCGCGACAGCGATGTCGCAAGACTCCCCGGCGGAGCTCCTTCGTGAGCTGCAGGCCCAAAAGGCGTTGTTGGAGGAGCAGCGCAAGGAGCTGAAGCAGATGACCGAAACCCAGGAGAGCATGGCTGGCGCCATGGATTCGGCTTGGCTGGTCCTCTGTGGGGCTCTAGTCATGTTTATGCATGCAGGATTTGCAATGTTGGAGACAGGCTGCTGCCGCGCAAAGAATGCCTCAAACGTCCTGATGAAAAATTTGGTCAATGTGTCTTTGTCATAGTTGGGTAACATTTTTCCGTTTTTTAAGGGTACTGTAACCCAATATGAAGTAGCAAATTCGATGTTTACTACTATCCCAACCATGAACTAGGTGTCAGTCGGCACATTGGGTTGGTGGATGTTTGGCTGGGCCCTTGCCTATGGCTCCCAAGCCGGGTCTTTCATTGGCACAGATGGCTTCTTCGGCCTGGGTTTCTACACCAAAGATGCATCGGGCAACATCGTTCCGGTGGAGTGTGAAGACGGGAACTGCCAGCCATGCTGAGTTGGTTCTTCCAGTGGGGCGTCTAGGATTCTCAGCGGTTCCTTTTTTGTGTGTGTTTTTTTGTTTCTGGTTCCTGGTATATCTGGACCCGCCCCTAAAGTATATAGCCCCTAAAGTATATACTTTTGCCAGTGGGATACTGAGCAGCCCAGGCCTTCTGCACGGCTGGCACCAACCTGAGTTGTCGTGTCCTATCGTGTCCTTCTTTCGAAGAATGGCCGTAGCCCTAGATGGACCGGTGCGCATGCGTGCTTGAGTCTAGGCGCCACCATCGTGAGCGGATGCGTAGCGGAGCGTGTCAAGAGTCCCACCTACGCTTTCTTCGCCTTCTGCATGACTTCCTTTATTTACCCGGTTGTGGTAGCATGGACCTGGGGCGGCGGCTGGCTCGCCAGCATCTTCGATGTGGGATATATGGATTTCGCCGGCTCAGGCCAAGATTTCAGCACGTAAACATAAACTATTGAAACCCACCCCTTGAAGGGATGTTACCTAAGAAGAGTGTGTCTCGGTGCCTCTTTCGGCCCCTAAACCCTAGAACGTAGGCCCCAAACCCCTAAAGCCCTAAACCCTAAGTTCTAAAACCCTAAACCCTCCCTGAACCTACAGGTGTTGTCCATTTCACAGGAGGCGTTTGCGGCCTCGCTGGCACGGTCATCCTCGGCCCTCGGAGGGGACGCTTCGAGAATCCCGAGGAGTTCGAGTACCACAATGTCCCGCTGAGACTTGCTGGCACTTACCCCCAGCCCCAAATAATGATGTGCGATCTGTATGTTCGAATTTATTTACCTGGTTTATACATGTAAATATGTAAGACTATGTGCTGCGCGAGGTGTCACAAGAAAGCAACTAAGGGTCGTGCTCGGAACCTTCGCGCTTTGGTTCGGTTGGTATGGCTTCAACCCAGGCTCCACCCTCTCGATGCATGATAAGGAGATGGGTGCCCTTGCAGCACAGGTGGCCGGAAATTCTGAGTGTAGGAGTCCGTTTTGCCTCTTCTTACAACCTTAAAACTGGCGTCCTCGTGTCTGTCTATCCTTATCAGCTTATTGTCCACTTCCTCTTTTACACAGGTGGCAATGAACACCACTCTCTCCGCCGCCACCTGCGGGATCACCGTGTTCTTGCTGAAGTTCGTGCTCGTGCGCAAGTACGATGTCGGCGCGCTCTGTAACGGCATTCTTTCCGGCTTGGTGTCTATCACCGCGGGCTGTGGAAACATGGAGTGCGGCAGCGCTGTTCTCACCGGCTTCATTGGTGCCTTTTTCTACCAGGCGGCATCAAGTCTCCTTGTGAGATTGAAGATTGACGACCCCGTGGATGCCAGCGCAGTGCACGGAGCCTGTGGCATTTGGGGGCTTCTCGCCGCTGGTCTCTTCGATTGGGGGAAGGGCTTTGACCACTATCACGGCTGGAGCGGTTTCGGCTGCATGGCCGGCGATGATGGTGCATGCCGCAGCGGCTTGGGAGGCGCCGCCATTGGAGCGCAGATTGTAATGATCCTCGCTATCATCGCATGGGCAGGTACGCTATCCACGCTGTCCTTCCTGGTCCTGAAGTTTTCGGGTCTTCTTCGTATTGGTGAGAACATTGAGAAGGTCGGCTACGACATGCATTCGCACTCTCCGCCGAAGGCCTACGCCTTCAGTGGCAACGACCCCAAGTCGTCGTCAAGTGAAGAGTCGGGGTCAGAGGGGTGCTTGTGAGTGGGAGGGGAAGCAGTGAAGCCCATCGGTGTTCATCCCATGGGCATGATTTTGAGTCCGATCATCAGGCCAGACCTTGTAGAGTCTCCTGATGGCGTTTAAGTGTCAAGGAGTCAGTGACCATCCGATGCGACCGTCACTGCTCAGGTGCACAGAAGTGGCCCACCATTCCCAGACCAGACCAGATCTGTCCATAGCAGTCCTGGAGCTGCACCACGCCCAGACGATAATTAAACACTGAGTCACAGCTTATTGGCAGCCTCGTCATTGCGCCATGTGATGATTCCCTCGCTCCGAAGTTTCCGGATCCCTAAACTCTACGACGGGTATCTTAAACTTGACATCCTGCGCGAAATCTTACTAAGAGTCCCCCCCATTCCAGCCTCTACTTCCGACAGTCACTGGATGCGACCAGCGTGAGCCCAAGCCTGCAGGCTTTCCTTGTTGCCGCAGCCAGTTTTGCCCACAGCGAGCACTTAGAAGAGAGCGGTGGCAACCCGTGTCCTGAACATGAAGGTTTGTCTCGCAGCTGCTCTTGCTGCCGCCTTCACCGCGACAGCGATGTCGCAAGACTCCCCGGCGGAGCTCCTTCGTGAGCTGCAGGCCCAAAAGGCGTTGTTGGAGGAGCAGCGCAAGGAGCTGAAGCAGATGACCGAAACCCAGGAGAGCATGGCTGGCGCCATGGATTCGGCTTGGCTGGTCCTCTGTGGGGCTCTAGTCATGTTTATGCATGCAGGATTTGCAATGTTGGAGACAGGCTGCTGCCGCGCAAAGAATGCCTCAAACGTCCTGATGAAAAATTTGGTCAATGTGTCTTTGTCATAGTTGGGTAACATTTTTCCGTTTTTTAAGGGTACTGTAACCCAATATGAAGTAGCAAATTCGATGTTTACTACTATCCCAACCATGAACTAGGTGTCAGTCGGCACATTGGGTTGGTGGATGTTTGGCTGGGCCCTTGCCTATGGCTCCCAAGCCGGGTCTTTCATTGGCACAGATGGCTTCTTCGGCCTGGGTTTCTACACCAAAGATGCATCGGGCAACATCGTTCCGGTGGAGTGTGAAGACGGGAACTGCCAGTCCACGATGCTGAGTTGGTTCTTCCAGTGGGCGTCTAGGATTCTCAGCGGTATCCTTTTTTGTGTTTTTTTGTTTCTGGTTCCTGGTATATCTGGACCCGCCCCTAAAGTATATAGCCCCTAAAGTATATACTTTTGCCAGTGGGATACTGAGCAGCCCAGGCCTTCTGCACGGCTGGCACCAACCTGAGTTGTCGTGTCCTATCGTGTCCTTCTTTCGAAGAATGGCCGTAGGGTGCGCATGCGTGCTTGAGTCTAGGCGCCACCATCGTGAGCGGATGCGTAGCGGAGCGTGTCAAGAGTCCCACCTACGCTTTCTTCGCCTTCTGCATGACTTCCTTTATTTACCCGGTTGTGGTAGCATGGACCTGGGGCGGCGGCTGGCTCGCCAGCATCTTCGATGTGGGATATATGGATTTCGCCGGCTCAGGCCAAGATTTCAGCACATAAACATAAACTATTGAAACCCACCCCTTGAAGGGATGTTACCTAAGAAGAGTGTGTCTCGGTGCCTCTTTCGGCCCCTAAACCATAGAACGTAGGCCCCAAACCCCTAAAGCCCTAAACCCTAAGTTCTAAAATCCTAAACCCTCCCTGAACCTACAGGTGTTGTCCATTTCACAGGAGGCGTTTGCGGCCTCGCTGGCACGGTCATCCTCGGCCCTCGGAGGGGACGCTTCGAGAATCCCGAGGAGTTCGAGTACCACAATGTCCCGCTGAGACTTGCTGGCACTTACCCCCAGCCCCAAATAATGATGTGCGATCTGTATGTTCGAATTTATTTACCTGGTTTATACATGTAAATATGTAAGACTATGTGCTGCGCGAGGTGTCACAAGAAAGCAACTAAGGGTCGTGCTCGGAACCTTCGCGCTTTGGTTCGGTTGGTATGGCTTCAACCCAGGCTCCACCCTCTCGATGCATGATAAGGAGATGGGTGCCCTTGCAGCACAGGTGGCCGGAAATTCTGAGTGTAGGAGTCCGTTTTGCCTCTTCTTACAACCTTAAAACTGGCGTCCTCGTGTCTGTCTATCCTTATCAGCTTATTGTCCACTTCCTCTTTTACACAGGTGGCAATGAACACCACTCTCTCCGCCGCCACCTGCGGGATCACCGTGTTCTTGCTGAAGTTCGTGCTCGTGCGCAAGTACGATGTCGGCGCGCTCTGTAACGGCATTCTTTCCGGCTTGGTGTCTATCACCGCGGGCTGTGGAAACATGGAGTGCGGCAGCGCTGTTCTCACCGGCTTCATTGGTGCCTTTTTCTACCAGGCGGCATCAAGTCTCCTTGTGAGATTGAAGATTGACGACCCAGTGGATGCCAGCGCAGTGCACGGAGCCTGTGGCATTTGGGGGCTTCTCGCCGCTGGTCTCTTCGATTGGGGGAAGGGCTTTGACCACTATCACGGCTGGAGCGGTTTCGGCTGCATGGCCGGCGATGATGGTGCATGCCGCAGCGGCTTGGGAGGCGCCGCCATTGGAGCGCAGATTGTAATGATCCTCGCTATCATCGCATGGGCAGGTACGCTATCCACGCTGTCCTTCCTGGTCCTGAAGTTTTCGGGTCTTCTTCGTATTGGTGAGAACATTGAGAAGGTCGGCTACGACATGCATTCGCACTCTCCGCCGAAGGCCTACGCCTTCAGTGGCAACGACCCCAAGTCGTCGTCAAGTGAAGAGTCGGGGTCAGAGGGGTGCTTGTGAGTGGGAGGGGAAGCAGTGAAGCCCATCGGTGTTCATCCAATGGGCGTGATTTTGAGTCCGATCATCAGGCCAGACCTTGCACAGGCTCCTGATGGCGTTTAAGTGTCAAGGAGTCAGTGACCATCCGATGCGACCGTCACTGCTCAGGTGCACAGAAGTGGCCCAGCATTCCCAGACCAGACCAGATCTGTCCATAGCAGTCCTGGAGCTGCACCACGCCCAGACGATACTTAAAGACTGAGTCACTTTTCAGCCTCGTCATGTGATGATGCCCTCGCTCCCCGGTTTCCGGACCCCTAAACTCTACGACGGGTATCTTAAACTTGAAGTCTTGCTTAAAGTCCCAACCCGGCCCTGTCTCGAAGGCGAAGGACAAGGTCGAATAAGCATCCGCCACTCTGCTGTGAAGATCGGTTTAGGGTTTAGGGTTTAGGGTTTAGAGATTATTCTGTGGGTACTTCACTTGCGGATTCGGGGTTTCAAAGAGCCGTACTTTGTAGTCTTAGCCACCTCATGGGGGGTTATTGGCATTCTCGGGGGTCTCCAGAAACCCTCAATCCTAAGCCCTGGGTTTAGAAAGGTGGCTGGCCGAGGATTCAAAAAGTCCCAAACCCCTATAAACCCAAAGTTACCTTTGTAAGGGCTTCCGATCTTTGCCCACTCAGTGTCTAAGGCTCTCCCATAGCCCAAAGCCCGAAACATTGACTCGAAACCAACAAACGCCAGACCCCCTAACCCAAGCGCCAAGCCGCCAAACTCCCAAACCCTAAGCCCCAATTACCTAAACCCCGCAACCCCAAAACCTTAGCCACCGAAAGCTCAGGGAATTTCGTCTTCGAGCTACGTGCACGCGGGCCGAAGGCACGGGCGAAAGTCGACAACTTCATCGATCCCGGTCTGACCTTGGAATTCGTTTTCACGGCGGTCTAGGGCTTCAGGGCTTTGTTTAGGGTTTAGGGTACGACTATGATATAGTCTTCAGAGTTTGACCCCCAAAACCCTAAATCATACAAACGCTAGATCAGCTGTACATAGAAAACTCTCAAACCAAATCTGCAGAGTCTTCAAGACTGCTTAATGCCCAGGACACGGCCTTCGAGTTTTACAAGCAGAAGAAGGGCGAGGAGTTTTTCTGTTGGGTGGTTTTGGGCTTTGCTGGTGGTCCGGGTTCAAGGGTTGAGAGTCTAGGGTCAAGGGTTTAGGGTTTGCGGTTTAGGATCTAAAGTCCAGGGTTTAGGGTCCAGAGTTTGTTGGAGCTTAGGGTTGGGGAATGTGGAGGGTTACCTGGAACCTAGGCCTAGGCCCTCCACCCTAAAGCCTCAAGTCAACATCCTTATGTACTTTTGTTGTCGGAGCCTTACCAATATACGGTTGATGATATAAATCCTGCAGACCTTAAGGACCCTAAACTATGGGAATTATGGTGAATTCCTTGTTGTGGGTAACTCAGGATTTAGATCATCAGCCGTAGTATTCCGTAGGGCTCCTCGTTGTAATTAGACCATAATATCCCCCAAACCCTGCTCCAATTATCAAGACCCCTTTTTTATGTTATCTTTATGGTAGTCCCTCAACCCGAGGACTCCAGAAGCCAAACTGGTCTTGGGTTCCGGCGAAAATTCGGGTACGAGTGTCGCAGAGCGATTGTAAGATTCGTCAGAGTCCAAAGAGTTCAGACCCTCAATTTGTGCCAGCGCTAACCTCCTCAACGCATAAGCCCGTAACATACCGCGGCCCAAAGCAATACCCTATTCGGTGATCGTGAAACCTGGGTTTCCCCAAAGCTTCAAGTCCGTGGGTCGAGGGCTTATCACAGAGGATAGGGGCTGTATTGGGTTGTTCTGGGTTTCTACAAGGATGGGGCGTTACAGGGGCATACCATATTGTAGGGCAATAATAGTAGTACTTTTTGCGTTCCCCGATATGTCTTTGTTGTATAGGCACCCCAAGCCCCACCCCAAACCCTAAACTCTAAACCTTACTTGTTCAGGCATCCATACTACGCTAAGGAGCTGTCAAACCATTGGAGTATGCCGGGCAAAAGCTGGGATGCACCAGATTTTGAATAGTACTCATGGCTTGCACCTACGCTGTGACACTTACCTACATCTAAACCGCAGACCCGAAACCCCCAATTCGGAACTATCCTTAAGCCCTTCCCAACAGCGGAACTAAACCCTTCCCCAAAATCAGAACTAGCCTTAAACCCTTCCCCAAAATCGGAACTAACTTTAAGCACTTATCCGCAGCCGATAAGCCTACACCCCTTTCCAGAAGGGCTTCCTTCCAGCATAGGGTTCAACGTCGCAAGCTGCGTAGGAGATTGACAAGAGTCGCTACCTCTACTGTAGGGGCCTTCATAGTTAGCATAGGGTTTTGGGGGTATAATCTGCCATGATTATCATACGGAACTCCCAAAACTCTTTTGGTAATCATTAAGGCCCCTATGATAAATCCTTATATTAGCCCTTATAGATCCCCAGAACCCTATTCAGCTTGCTAAGGCCCCTATACCCTATACCCGAAACCCGAAACCTTGAACCCTAAACCTTAAACCCTGTATTAGGAGATTGACAAGAGTCGCTACCTCTACCAGCCGGTCCTTGCCGCTCCAAAATCATCGGAGGAGGTCGCGATTGACCGTGTGTTGGGAGGATCATGGAACTTAGGGCTTTGGGGTTGCTCAAAGGGTGCGTTAAGGGCTCCTCTAGGGGCTCCTTAAAGGGATCTATAGGGTTCCGCAAAGGGATCTATAGGGATTGGGGTTTAGGATCATGGGACTTAAAAGGGCTCCTTGAAAGCCATCTAAGGTCTATAAGGGTTCTATAATTAAGAGGGTTTTCTGGTTACTTAAAGGATCATGGGACTTAGTAACTGGGGTTCCTGCCAGGGTTCCTTAGAAAGGGACCTATAAGGGTTCTATAAGAGGGGTTTTAGGGTTACTAAAGGATCATTGGACTTAGTGACTAGGGTTATAACTAGGATAACTATACTTGTAGCAACTTATAACCCCAATAAGGTACTTATAACCCTAGTTACTAAGTCCCATGATCCTCCAAGTGGGGAATTTGGATTTTAGGTTCGGGACTTCGGCGTTTCGGGCTTAGGGTTCACGGTTTAGGGGTTTAGGGTTGAGGGGTTAAAGCTTAAGTTCTTGCAGTTGCAACGAATGTGCTCGTGTTCGACGGTCTTTAAGTAGGAAGATTGTGAAAATGTATGGTCCTGATCCCGACCTGGCTATGGACGCCGATATGGAGGTTATGAAAACTACGAGCAGGTCGCGGTGATGCTGATGTTCATCAACATCCTCAGAAACATGGCCTCTACCTTCATCAGCGTCATCACCATCGGCGCCATCATCATCACCACCATAATCAGCATCATCCTCGTCGTCATCACCATCAACACCATGATCATGATAAAGGTGGTGGCGAAACCTCGAAAGATGCGCCAAGTCTGTTTACTCGTACTACAAAGGCCTAAATAATTACAATACTGTTGTTTTGGGGGGTTCCTTCTCATAGTTAGAGCATAATGGGCACCAAAACCCTATTCTAATTATTAAGGCCCCGATAGTAGGGTGAAAATGGCGCCTGGCATCCGGGCCGTTACAGCTTCAACTTGGGCCCAAGCAGTGAGGGAGCGAAGCGTTCGTGTCAGGCTTGCATGGGTCCATGTACCCAAATAGTATATACCGTGGCCATACGTTACACACACACAGATATACATACTTATATATATATATATATATGTATGTATATACATATACAGATATATCTACATATTTGTATATGTGTGTATATATATATATATATAGAGAGAGAGAGAGAGAGAGAGAGAGAGAGGGACTACGTCGAGGTCAAAGTATATATCCACTATTTGGTCACATGGACCCTTAGTGTTACGGAAAATCCGTCCCCTAAGCAAACGTAGCAGATCAGAGTTCAGAGATTTGATTGGGTCTAGTAGTTTTAATGATTGGGGTTTGGGCTGAGGGTTTAAGGTTTTGGGGTAGAGGTTTCTAGCGCATGCTTCTCGTCTAGAGTTCGAGAGGCCTAAACTAAACAGCATACTCAAGCCACAAAGCTCGAGAATCTTTCCCCATGAACCCCAAGCCCCACACCAAAGGCTTTGCACCTGTCCGAACTATTGCCTAGCCCTTCAAGCTTGAACCAACCGTTGAATCCTCAACCCTACTGTAAACCCTCAACGGGGCAAGGCCGGATCCGATGACGATGGGGACATGGCACGGAAATACAAGCCGCCCGGTCTTGGAATCAAGGCTTTAGGGTTTAGGGTTTAGGGTTCCGCGTTAGACTTTAGGGGTTTGGCGCTTTAGTGGTTCGAGGAGGGTTTAGCGCTCAGACGCTCAGATCAGGATTCAGGAAAGAAGGCATCAGATGTGCGCGTAGAAGTGGGGCCTCGATCATTTCATGGGTTTTGCATTCTTGCCCCGCAGCAATAGCAGCCGAGGATAACATAAGGGCCTTAGGAATTAGAATAGGCTTTTTGGGGCCCATTATGCTATAACTATATTAAGGAACCCCCAAACTAGTCTTGGTAGCAATTTAGGCCCCTATAAGACCCAGGAGATACCTCCTGTCGGACTCCAAAAGCTTCGACACGCTCTTCTTTCCAGAGAAGAAGCAGCTGCTGAAGCTTGTGGACGACTCTCCGTGGCACGGTGCACGGTTTAGGGTTTAGGGTTTACTCCGTGGCAAGCCCTAGCCCGGAATATAGGGGCCTAAATAATTACCTAGACTATCTTGGGGGTTCCTTGTTGTAATTATAGTAGAAAGGAGCCCAAAACCCTATTCTAATTGTTGAGGCCCCTAGCCCATAGCCTTAAGCTCCATGGCTAAACTCTTAAACCCCCATCGGTAACCCCGAACAAAACAGGATCAGTCCGCTGGCATGTAATGCGCAGTGGATTGAACGGGGCAAACCCGAACCCCTAAACCCCTTCACTTTTTAGTGTACATAGATGTATACATATATATATATATATTTATTTAGGATTCTGCCGAACGAAGAACTTGTTATGTTTGCAAGCACTCAGCATCCCGGGCAGCTTTGCAAGTGACCCCTCGACGTTGACAAACACCTGCACCGGAGCTCCAAACCTATGTAGGTAAGTAGTAAGCATATCAAAACCCTGCCGAAGCTCTAACCCTCAAACCCCTCAAAAAGGAAGCCTTAACAATCAGAAGCCTTTTTCCGCAGGACTTCTTATTCTAGTTATGCAATATTCTGTGCATTTTCCAATTCAAACATGTTCAAGAGCTTGTGTCTGTGTTGCACCCTAAACCCTAAACCCTGCTTGGGAAGAGCTGAACAGCAACTTAAGGACTTCCGTCACTGCAGAGGCCGGTGACGGGAATTGGCTTTGGGGTGCTGGCGCTGAGCAACTAGAAGTAGTGTCCGCTTATAGTAAAAGAATTTGATAGTTACATTACTATATTATTCTACTATATAAGAGTGATATAATGATGTACTATAGTACTATACTATGGACCATACCCCAAAAGCCTAGTCAATTTATCTTATCGCCATCGCTGTAAGTACTAGAATTGACGGTTACGCCGAAACTCTAGTCTATTTGTCCCAGCTCTTCATACTCTAATATACCCGCACCAAACCTTTTGCGATTGCTTTGGGCTCCTACAATAGCCCAAATCTAAACCCTAAACCCTACTACCATAGCCCAAACCTAAACTCGAAACCCTAAACCCTACTACACTAGCCCAAACCTAAACCCTACTACACCTTACTACAATAGCCTAAACCTAAACCCCAAACCCTAAACCCTACTACAATAGCCCAAACCTAAACCCTACACCCTACTACAATAGCCCACACCTAAACCCCAAACCCGCAACCCTACTACAATAGCCCAAACCTAAATCCCAAAACCCTGCTACGATAGCCCAAACCTAAACCCTAAACCCTACTACAATAGCCCAAACCTCAACCCTAAACCCTAAACCCTACTACAATAGCCCAAACCTAAACCCCAAACCCCTATTGCAATAGCCCAAACCTAAACCCTAAACCCTACTACATAGCCCAAACCTAAACCCCAAACCCGAAACCCTACTACTATGAGCCTAAACCCTAAACCCTAAACCCTACTACCATGAGCCTAAACCCTAAACCCTAAACCCTACTACTATGAGCCTAAACCCTAAACCCTAAACCCTACACATGGGCAATGAATAGGTGAACCCGGAGCTCCAAACGGTTTCAGGATTCGGGTTCGTTCCTAAAAGGACTCTCAACAGAGGCTTAGGGGGCAGGGCTAGGGCTTATGCTTTAAGATTCATTCCTATAAGGCTGCTCTGTAGGGGCTTTGGGTTAGAGACTGGTGCGCCGTGGCGGCGTGTATTTTCGAGGAATCCTGTGTTTTTTCTCGAGTTTTTGTATATGGATTTTACAACTATGAATTGGGTTAAGGGAGGTTGGATATGGAGAAGTAGAGTAGGGTATGTTAGGGCTAGGCATATAATATAGGCTACAAGGATTCTGTGTAGTAGCTTAGGGCGCAGGTCTAGGGTTTAGGGTTGCGGCAGGAGTGCTGGACTTTCTCACCAAAGTTCGTAGGATTGTTCGAGGGGTCTTATACAAGTTCGCAGATCTGGTTCAAGGGTACAGGTGGCGCCCATAGCACTTCAGTTCTCGCCTTTGGCATTGGGTTCGAAACCCCAAAAACGCCCTAAACCCTCAACTCTCACCCCTAAACCCCAACCCTTCAACCTCTAGGCTTGAAACCCTCAGCCTTTAACCCTAAACCCTTGACCCGAAACCCTAATCCCTAAACCCCGAGGCCCCAAACCTTTACCCGTAAGCCCGAACTTCGAAAGACCTTCTCACTTTGACGTGGTCTTCTGATCAAACCTGAGAGCAAGAGAGGGCTTAGGGTTTCACATCTTTGCGGTTTAGGGTTTTGGGTTTGGGCTGTTTAGGGGTTTAGGCATTAAGGTTAGGGTTTTGGGTTTGGGGAGTTTGGGATTTCGGGTTTAGGCTTTAGGGTTAAGGGTTTAGGGGGTTTGGGGTTTACGGTTTCAGGGCAAAAAGCCCTTTGAGTTCTCTATCTGGGCCACAAGGGCATAGTCTTGAGCCCCAAGAGCCGCATTTAGGGTTTGGGGTTAAGGGCTTAGGGCATAGACGGAACATTACAGGGGCCTGAACAATCGTGATAGTACCTATACAGCTGACAAGAAAGTGAACCACCAGACAACCCGGTTCTATCTATACGGGCCACTACAATAATCCATAAACCCCACACCACAGATCCGTTCCTGCACTACCCGTCTTGTGCGGATTACTTGCTGTACTGGTGGTTGAGAAGGATTGTGGGCCCAGCGTGGGATTTAGGATTCAGGCTTGTGTCTCAAAGCCTACAGCCCCATAGAGGGGTTGGCATCCCTAAGCCGAAAAAACCTTGCATACCAGCCCTATAAGCCCTGTGAGCCCTACAAGCCCTGCACGTCTTAGGTCCTAACAGAAACCTAAGCCTGGAACGGCTCCCAAGACCAACCCGCGCCGACAGCCAGGTAAGTTTGCAATTCCCGGGTGCCTGGGCAAATCCGGCTTTTGCTTTGGAGCTTGGCGTTTTGGGCTTAGGGTGAAAAATTCAGTTGTCATATCCCCCAAAACCCTGTGCTTGTTATTCCGGCCCTTGCATCCTTCCTCCCTAAGCTTCTTAAGCCCAAGCTCACGCACAGACACTCACTCCTAGTGGACCATCGCAGCCGGGATGGCTTGGACGAACAGGGATTCATTCCTCAGGAATATGCGTTGCCGGTGATTTCCCGACCCTAAACCCTAAACCGCTAAGACCAAAAAAAAGACTTAAGACCCTAAACCCTAAGATCAAAGGCAGCGTGCACTCGAACTTCCCCCCAGAGGGTCGAAATCCAGAGCCCCAAAAGCTCCTAGTAGTATTATGAAGGCCTTAATGTTCACCTTTCCTATGTTGGGGATTCCTTACTGTTTATATATAATATATACGCATATATATATATATATATATGTATATATTTTTATATTTGTTTACACCCAAAACCATATTCTGATTATTGAGGCCCCTTTGGCAGCAGTGGAATAGCGTTAGGTAGAGACCATCTGAGCCCCGCAGGACTCCACATCTCGCCTAGGCCCTAAACCCTAAACCCTACTTAAAGGATCATGGGACTTAGTAACTGGGGTCATAATTAGGGTAACTGTACTTATAACTACTTATAGCCCCATTTAAGGTATTTATAACCTTACTTACTAAGTCCCATGATCCTCCAAGTAGGGTTTAGGGTTTAAGCCTGTTGATTCTGATGAACCCTTCCTCCGGGCTTCCGACCCGCACGCTATTCGAAGACAACCTGAGACCATCTCTGAACCCTAATATGGGAGTTTCCGAAAATTAGGGGTACCCTATTGTGGGATCCTTATAAGAAGGATCCTACTATCTAGGGTCTTATATTAGGGTCCCCTATTTTCGGAAACTCCCATATCGGGGCCTTGATAATTACCTATACTCTTCTGGGGATTCCTTATTGTAATTGGGTCAACATACCCCAAAACCCTGTTCTAATTCTTAAGGCCCCCAGATGAAGCCTTTAACCCAGGTTTCCCAACAAGCTCGGAATTTTACTGGATGGCCCACCTGGCACTGGAAAGACTAGCCTCATCAAGGCGCTCGTTGCTTGCTTCTCCAGGTTCGGGATCGTCTACCCCTTAACCCTACCTGGACCCTAAAAAACCTACCTTTTTAGGGTTCCTTAATCTGATTTTCCTTATATAAGTCTTTAAAAAGGTAGGTTACTTGGGGTTAAGGTAAACCCTCTTTGACTTAAGGCCTCAACCCCTGGTGAGGTAGGTCTTGAGGGTTGGAGTCCTCCTTGTTAAACGGCATATGGGAACACTGGGTAGCTCAAAGGCCTGAATCAACTTTGCTCTCCCTGGCAATCTCTTTGACAGTTGAGGTTGTATGAGTTTTGGGATTAGGGTTTCGGGCTGAGGGTTTAGGTTTTAGCGGAGGGGTCCGGTTGAGGTGTTATGAGTTTCAGGGTTCAGGGGAGGGGTCCGCAGGCCAACATCGAATTCTGTGCACTTTGGCCCGAATTTCCGTCTCTGCTACGGTCATGTATGCAAACCTGGTCGGACACCTTCATCACGAAACCTTAAACGCTGAGACTTCCGGGCGGGCAATAGCAGAAAAGGCCCTCAGTAAAGCTCTCGCCTGAATCCTACACCCAATAGCACCTTAAACTCAAAACCCAACTTATCCCTCAGAACCTTAAACTCGAAACTCTGCAACCATGAACTTAACTTACACCTTTGGTTAGTAGGGAATGGAGGAATGGGGTACAACTATAACTACTATTACTGCCATTCTTCCATTCCCTACTAACCAAAGGTAAGTTAATCTCTAGCATCCCAGAATCCTTAGGGCTAGACCGGAGCCTTCAAATCTCTCGGCAGGCCCTTCACTAAGGAGAATGCCCTAAATCCCTGCATGCCTCTATAAAACTCAACCCTAAACCCGACGCTAAACCCTAAATACCTTACCTACTGCGTAGGCACAGGGTTGTGACCTTGTGGCAGGCCCTGGCAATTTACCTTCAGAGGCACATCGTCTCGGTCTCCTTGGAGAAGGTCAAGACTAACCAGGAGAGGTCAGGGCTTCCGAGGGGGTTTGAATGTTAGAATCCGGTTTTATTTCTTCGGGCTGGTAGACGTTTGCTGTTTTTTTTAAATTTGTTCTTGGGGATTTGAGGGTCCAGGGTTGTCGAGGTTTTTCGGGTTGCCTTCCAGGCTTCGGTTTAGGGTTTTAGGGTCGGATGGGTGACTGTTTTACTGGATTCTCTTTCCGATTTCGGTTGCAGTCGCATGTTATACTGTATTTTGACAGGTACTACCCTGCTTGTGGTTCTAAGTGGCTTCTAGTTCAGGATGTGTAGACTGGAGTCCAAGGCTTAGGGCATCCAGTGCATTGTCGTTGTGAGGCTCTCGTACAGTGGTTCGTAGCTACAGGACGAAGAATGCTCTTGGTAGGGGACTCATACAATGAAAAAAAGCTCCAGCTCGTACTCTACGGGCCTCATGTAGGAGCCACGGTCGATAGAATAGGGTCTTTGTTTTTGAGAATGGTATAATACTCATATACATGTATATATACATATGTATATATATATATATATATATATAATATATGCATATATGTATATGTGGTTTGAACGGGGACATCTGGATGCCATTGTTTATAATGCAGACCGCGGTGTTTGGTGCTAGGTTTTAGGGTTCAAGGCTTCAGGATATTTTTTGGGGAAGCAGCTGATAAACATGACACTCTTAACTGAAAAACCCGAAAATCCTAAAGCCCAAAACCCTAAACCCCAGAAATCCTAAAGCCCTAAACTCAAATTTTCAAGAGCCTACAACTTATAGCCTACCTATAGTCTCCACTGTAGCTCCTTCTTGGGGTTACCTTATGGGATCCTTAATATATGATTGGTTTAACCACAAGAAGGAACTACAATGGAGACGAATAGTCCCCAAGGAGCTGATGGACATGATGTTCGACCTTTCCTACTCCGTGAAGGGCGAGGATGAGCCGTTTAAGATGAAGTTTGAGGAGGCGGCAGAGGATTTTGTTTGGGGTTTAGGGTTCGGGGTTCAGGGTTCAAGGGAGTAGGGTTTAGCGTTTAATGTTGAGAGTTTAGGGTTTATAGACTGTAGGGTTGAGGGTCTGGAGTTTAGGGTTTGTGGTTATGGTTTAGGGCGTAGGGGTTCCTTCAAGGGCTCCTTTCAGGGTTCCGTGAAAAGGTCCATAAGGGTTCTAGGTACTGGAGGGTTTGGGGTTTAGGGGTATTTGGGGCGGCGCAAACGATTTGAGTGTCTTATCGTGATTCCTATAGGGAGTTTTGCAAAGATTTGGGGTTTAGGAGTTTGGGAATTAGAATTTAGGGTTTTTCATTTAGAGTTTTGGGGGGTTTGGGAAGGCTGAATCATGACCGTACAGCCCACAACCAGCGCCTAGGCAAGGCCACTTGTCAGGAAGAAGCCCGAGTCCGCCAGAGAAATGATCGGCGCAGAATGGCGGCCTCTGGAGATTAAGTCGGCCTGTTCATGAACGATGACAAGCTTCAGCAGTGGTACGGTGCCTGCTTGGGCCAGGCCAAGCCTACATGCCGTTGGTTTCAGCTTCCAAGTGGCTCTTGATAAGCGTCTACATGGACCAGCGCTTTGTCAAGCATGTGATTATTCCCACGATGCGCTTGAAGACGGAAACGATTAAATGCCTTCCGGCGCCTGATATTGCAAATGAGCTTGCCCAGAAGTATCACGGTATGACACTGGACACTTGGCATGAGGTGCGGTTGGCGCTCAAGAATCTCTTCCATCTGGGCAACCTCTGGCCTGTAGGCCGGATGACACCACAAGTCAAGGAACTCACATTTTGCGCGCTCCGCGATGGCCTTACCATCGCCAGTGACATCAAGCCTGGAAGCCCATGAAGCAGCCGAGCAAAGCCAGACAAGAGGTCTTGTTGGCCAAGGAGAGTGCTGAGGAGCTGGAGGGTTTAAGGTTTCGGCTTGATGTTTGGTTAATCCCAAACCCCCAACCCTAAACTACAACCGTACAGCCTATAGCCCTTAGTCCTTATGAGTGTCACTGCAGGATTGGGAACTTCTGAACCGGATCTCCAAACCTCAAAACCCAAAATAGGCCCTGAACCCTAAACCCTGAACCCCCAAAGCCCTAAACTACAACCCCCCCCCCCTCCCCAGACTTTCTGGTTTGGGGCGTAGGAGCAGTGGGATTCGGAAGTTGTCCATGTACCCTCGAGTCTAGATCTCTATTGGCGGCCTGGGCTCATGTGCATGTCTCGAAAATATGTGTACTGTAGGGGCTTAAATGAAACAACTACCAATACTGGTTTGGGGGTTCCTTATTGTAATTCTAGTAGAGATAATGGGCCCCACACCCTATTGTTAAGGCCCCTATATTACCGCTTAGGAACCGACAGCCGGCGCAAACGGTTTGAATGAGTTGACTCAAATTCTGCTTGTGCTGACAAAATGCAAACAGCTGCGCTGGCAGCAAACCATCAAAAAGCTGCATTGGTAAAAGACAAACCCAAAATCCCAGGCCCCCAAAACCCTAAATCTCAACCCCCCAAACCCAAAACTCAAAACCACAACCCTAAACCCCAACCTGTCAGGTTATCTTCGTGATGGAAGATGTTGATTGCGCCTCCAGGGTCGTGACTCTTGGCTTCGCGTTGAAGGCAGTGTAAACTGTTAAGGGATCCTGTAAGGGTCCTTGGAGGGTTTAGAGTTTAGCGTTCCCTTAGAGGCATTTTTTTAATTTGGGGGGAGCCCTAGGGGTCTAGGGTTTAGAGGTCCTCCAAAGTTATGATTACAGGTATAGAGCCTTTGAGGCTTTAGGGTGTTTAGGGACCTGAACAGGAATCCCTAAACCCTAAGCCCTAAGCCCTGAACACCTAAACCCTAAACCCCTAAACCCTAAACCGCATATCCCTAAACTCTTTAAACTTAACCCTGACTCGTGTGGTTGGACCTGGGTCCAAGCGGACAGGCTCCTCAAAACCATAGGATCGCGGACATAATATGTGGGTGGGAAGACTCAGTACGAGTACTAGTAGCCCTTTGAAGTCTCCATGTGATGTAACGATGCTGCTATGTGCCACAAAATCCCCAAGTCCTTATTCTAAGTGGTACGGCCCCTAAACCAATGCAGCCAACCTTTGTTTTGACGACTGCGGATTGTTGGATGCAAGATGACAGCAGTGACTGAAGGGTGGCAGTGCGATGCAAGAGCTCTGAACCTTACATCCCAGATCAGGTATGCCCGCAAGGGGGCTTCGGCAGCGGCAGCCGCTCAGGCCCGACTTTGCAGGGACGGGTGTTTGTACCTGCGAAGCTTATATATAATCTTATAACCCGAAGAGACCTAGAGCGAATGAATATCTGTAGACATAGCTTCTATAGCCAAACTCATTTCTTCGTTTCCTTGTTCTGCGGAACACGCCCCGGAGTGCCGTTGCCTCCCGGGATTTGGGGGAGGTAGTACAGGGCCAGGCATGGTCAGGGAAGCTTGCCCATTTGGACATGGGAGTTTCTGAAAATAGGGGACCCTAATATAGCACCCTAAATAGCAGGATCCTTATTATAAGGACCCCAAAATAAGGTACCCCTAATTTTCGGAAACTCCCACAAAGCTGTAGCTCACGTGTTTAAGTACGTAGCCTCCTCTGGCAGCCTCACGACTGTGGATAGGGTGCAAGCCCGAAGCCCCAAACCCCTGTAGAAGCATCACAGACCGCTTGGAGAATAAGCAGGCAACCCCTCAACCCAAAACCCTACCAATCCCTAAACGCTAAACCCCAAACCGACCCTAAACCCTTGACCCTGAAGTTTAGCCAAAAACCTTAAACCCCAAGCCCTAGATTCTAAAACTCGAACCCTAAACCCAACAGCCTAACCCCCAACCCTTACGCCCTAACCTCAACACCATCTCCAGGCCGGAAGCATGCTGACGGCCGAAAGCACCAAAGCCAAAGACGCGGGAGACCTTGGGTACGAGTTCGGTTGCTTCGGGTAGTCCCTTCCCCCTAATATTCACCCCCCCCCTAAACCCTAAACCCTAAACCCCAAACCCTAAACCCTAATCCCCCCTAATGTAAAACTTGATTTCCGGGATTCTGATTCAATATTGGGGGGGGGTTTCGGGGCATCCACGTATGAGTCGGATTGACAGTAATAATGAGCCAGACACAAAGACCGCCAATCACGCAGCCATTCCGGCTGTAAAGCCGACAGTCCCGCCCTACACCCTAAAGCCCCAAAGCCTTAAAGCTCTAAACTCTATAAAGCCCTGAGCCCTCAACCCTTAAACCCTAAAGCTCTGGACTCTTCGGTCTGATTAGTACTGCTATAGGCTTTGGCTCCATTAAAACTCATACAATCATGTCTTAGTTAACTTTCAGTTGTGGGCCCGAAATCGCGAAATTCTGGCGGCGAGTTAATTTTATATCAAGGGGGGCTTTAATATTAGGGGGAACGGATTGTTCCTTCAATGCTACGGAGTTTAGGGTTTGAGGTTTGGGGCTTAGGGTTTGCGCAAGGCACAGCACAATGCCACAGAGAGCGAGAGAGAGAGAGAGAGAGAGAGAGAGAGAGAGAGAGAGAGAGAGAGCGAGGGAGGGAGGGAGGGAGGGAGGGAGGGAGCGAGCGAGCGAGCGAGCGAGCGAGATCTGGCCATTCTGGCCATCCGACGGCTGCCGCATTCAACACCGCCAAGCAGGAGTCCCGCAAGCTGCTTCAAATTGTCAAAGCCAAAGTAGACGAGGGCAAGCGCCTGCAGCAGGCCATGTACAGTGATTGCGCAAGGGCAAGGCAAGGGCAGGGTAAGCCCAGAAGCCTTGACTCGTCTTGTCGCATGAACCTTAAACCTTAACGCCCGAAGTCCTAAACCGTAAACTTAAACGTTAAAACCCTAAGCCTAAACCTGAACCCCTGAAGGCTTAAATCTTGCCGAGGAAAGTTCTGGCACCCCTGGTCCGGCAAACATATCTGCGACCCCTGCGTTGCTCAGCTGCAGTTTCGGTTTCCACACTCTTCGCGGACCCAAAAGAAGTCGACAAACGAGTAAGCGCGTTCGTATGTATATGTACATTGATATGATTCATATGCATGCAACTATCCATGTGTATACATATATATATATATATATATGGGCAATCATTTTTGCACTTATCTAGTTGTACTCGTTTATTCGCATGACCGCCTGGAACCATACAGAACTCTCCCTGCAGCGTGCCTATGCCCAGAACTCAGGGACCCTCAATTGAAACCCCAAGCCCTAAACCCTAAATCCTAAATCCGAAAACCCTAATATAACCCCTTGTACAGGGCTCTCTGCCCTCCCTCTTTTCACGGAGCAAAAGATGGTAGAAACGAAGCTCCGCAAAGCGTCCAACCCTGACCTAAGTTGTAAGGCCGTAGTATAGAGGCCTTAGCCCTGAGCACCAATACTCTTTTGGAGGTTCCTTTCTTGTAGCTATTACAAGTATAACATACCCCAAAACCCTAGCCCTGAGCCTTTTCCAAAGGTTTCAAGCCCTAGTGTTGTATCCTGTGTTTACGGCTCCCCTGCCAATTTGTTGAGAGAAATCGTAAGTTACTAAACCGTAAACCCTTAAGGAATATACCTCAAACTAGGGCGGGGGGCTGGGTATTGCCAAACATATTCCATGAAAAACAATACCCTACCAGACCCCTTTAAATTTTAGAGCCCTTACGAAGTTTCAGGCCCTGAACCCTACACCTTAATCCCTACACACCAAACCACCCCAACCCCCAAACAATACTGGCTTTCACATGCTTCGCTCCGGGAGCTTCATGCAAGGCTCTATCATATGTTCATAGAAACAGTTCCGCGCCTAAACCCTCAAACCTAAGCCCCTACGTCCCTAAGCCCCTAAGTCCCTAAGCCCCTAATCCTACACATGCAACCTCTCAACTCTAAACTCCGAACCTTGGAACCCCTAAACCCCTAAATCCCCAACCGCTTAACCTGGGCGTGGGCAGAGAGAAGGCCACTCTACCGTGCGCAGTCGGAGCCCCCGAATCCGGCGCAGCTGAAGCGCGCCTCGGTGTGAGTTTGAGGAGGAAGGGTTTCGGGCTTTAGGGTTTTGGGGTTTAGCATCTAGGGGTTTAGGATGATAGGGGTTTGCTGGATGATTTCGGGGTTAGCGTTCGGGGGTTTCAGGGATATGGTTGGAATTTACGGCTTAAGGCATGCAGTTTCGTGTTTTGGTGTTGTTGCGTTTGGGCCTAGTTACAACGGTTGAGCTTCGTTGCCAGGCAACGCTCCGTTCTCCATTCCGAAGCTCATGCGGCAAGTGTCCAAAGTTGCTGAGCATGCGCAGGAGACGCTGATCATGCTTTGGATTGCACCCTGCACCCCAATCCCTAAAATGTTCAACCCCCAAAAGCAGGGTTGGTTTCCGTTCATGTTGGGAGTTTCCGAAAATAGGGGACCCTCATACAGTACCCTAAATAGTAGGATCCTTATTATAAGGACCCCAAAACAGTAAGCAAGGTACCCCTAATTTTCGGAAACCCCCCATGTAAAGTTAACGAGTTTAGCTTATTGAAGTCTGGCTCCCAGGAAGCCTCGGCTCTCTCTTAACATAGGGGCCTGAATAAGTACCTAGGACCTATCCTACTATTTTTGGGGGATCTTTTTTATTATTAGTATTGCTATTCTTCTTCTTCTTCTTTTTGTTCTTCTTCTTCTTATTTTAATTTTAGTATATGATACACCAACACCCTATTCCAAGTATTCAGGTCCCTGTATTATTCTCTTGGTCTTTTCGAAGCTCGAAGACGCCAGCTGCTTGTTTGGATAAGTCGTCGAGTATCAAGAATATGACGGTGCTTGCCAGCTGAATCAATTCCATCGGCCTCCTTCGCAGAGTTCTTGAATCCTTCTTGAACTCTTGTCAGTCTTCTTCAGGTTAGAATCGGTCTTCTTACCATTACCATCACAAAACAAGTAAAACAAGTACCACACCTTCCTGGGATGTCCAGCCCGAATCATATGGCCTCAGAATCCCATTGCCCCGTAAGCCCTCAAGACCTTCCGCGCTGTGGCCCGGGTTGTAGGACCATGTCGGATCCGGCGATGGAGGGGACGACGCCACCCTGCACACGGAGTCTGGGTTCTATGCTGTGAAAGATTTTGAGGCAATGATTCCAAGTCACGCATGTCCTTAGTTGGTAAATCTGAGTGAACTTCCTTGACATTAATCTGAAGTTCAGTGTCTTTCCAAGATCCCAGGAGAGTGCGAACACAGCGGAGGATGAAGAGGAGGAGGAAGACGAGGAGGAAGAGGTGGACACGGCGATTCCAGGGCTTAGAGAGGGCTTAAGGATGTAGAGGTTCCTTAGGGGTATTTAGAAATAGTTTTGTATTTTTGGTTATGATAATCCCTAAGAAACAGCAAAAATTGAAATTTGTGCAAGGGTTCTACGTTCAGTAAAAGTTCAGGGTTTTGGTTTGAGGGTGTTAGGATTCTCAGGCACGGGAGCCCTCCGCCCTAGACCCTACTACAGGTAGAGAGGTTTAGGGTTTTAGGGTTTAGGGTTTTAGGGTTTAGGGTTTAGGGTTTAGGGTTTTAGGGTTTAGGGTTTTAGGGTTTAGGGTTTTAGGGTTTAGGGTTTTAGGGTTTAGGGTAGGGTTTAGGGTTTTAGGGTTTTTTTAGGGTTTTAGGGGTTTTAGGGTTTAGGGTTTTAGGGTTTAGGGTTTTAGGGTTTAGGGTTTTAGGGTTTAGGGTTTTAGGGTTTAGGGTTTTAGGGTTTAGGGTTTTAGGGTTTAGGGTTTTAGGGTTTAGGGTTTTAGGGTTTAGGGTTTTAGTTTTTAGGGTTTAGGGTTTTAGGGTTTTAGGGTTTTAGGAATTAGGGTTTTAGGGTTTGGGGTTTTAGGGTTTAGGGTTTTAGGGTTTAGGGTTTTAGGGTTTAGGGTTTTAGGGTTTAGGGTTTTAGGGTTTAGGGTTTTAGGGTTTAGGGTTTTAGGGTTTAGGGTTTTAGGGTTTCGCGCTTGTTCACGGAAGTTGTTCTGTTTCCGGGGGCGGTTAATACGTCAGTGCTTGTGTCAATCTTGCGGTGGACGGCGTGCTCGCAGCGAAGGTTGTTTTTCGGCCTGCTTATGGCGGCCCGATTTCTTTTGTCCCGCCCCGCGCCGTTCATGAGGCGGCGCACCACCCAGACCTACTCCTTTTAGGGTTTATACCTAAACTCCTCTTTTGCTGTTCTCATAACCCACTATGTCTGAGTTTAGGGGCAGGCAGCTTTGAATTCTTGTTTCCGCAGTCGTCAGCACACGTCAGCACTAGCCAGTAAAAACAGAATTGTATAATTAAAGGGGTTAGTTAGTTAGTTCAAAAGCAGGGGCGAAAAACTTGGAGCTAAATCTGTTGATGCTGCTGTTTCTAAGGGTGTTGCTGCTGCTGTTTGCTTTCGTTGTCACTCATGCTGCTGCAGATGTTTTTTGCTGCAAGTGCTCGTCTTTAAATACTGCAAAAAGAAGCAGTATGTCGCTACGAGTATGATGATGAGGATGGTGATGATGAGTATTGATAGTTAAGGTATCATTCGGCGCTGAATGTCGTGGTGGCACGGATGATGATGATGATGACGATGACATGGAGCTGATGATGATCCCATGTGCAAACCAAGCCACGGAAGCACTCAACTTCAATAGTCACAAGCAAACATGCAACCCACCGCAAGCAACCCCAGGCCGAAGAGCTGCAAGGTGCAGGTTTGAACGCAAGCAAGTAGCAGATATCATAGATGGAACCTTAAACCGCAGTCCGTCATAAGCTCACGAGAAATTAAAGCAAGAGCTTCTCCCGGCCAGGAAGCCAGCGACACCTTCAGCTCGACGTCGAGCAGAAACGGAGACGGAAAAAGAGGTCTGTGGCCCCGAGCTTTGCAGAGCAAGTCGCCGCTCGAAGCTGTTTGAAACTGTTACCTGACATCGTCCGACAACCGGTGTTTAAAGATGAGTCGGCCTAATCCAGCCTTGAAGCTGCTGTTTGCGTGAGTCGCCTGAGACGATAGCACTACAGGTTGTATCACGCAAGAGCTCAGTTCGCGAAGTTGGACTTTTCGTTCTGTTTTGAGCTTGGTGGGAAGCGAGGCGGGGGCGCATGCGGCGTCGTCGCGGCCGCTCCCACTGGCGTTCAAGGATTAGCATCGTGTTCTCGCCACAGTTTAGCAGTCATCCAGGCTAAAGTTTCGGTAATTTCCGTGGAATCCAACAGGTGCATTGCCGCAGTCTCGCCACCCGTGGCTTAGCAGCCATCAGGAGCGTGCTCTCACAACAGTTATATACAACTTTGCGCGGAGGGGCCTTGTTTTAATTTGCAGTAACATTATAGTAGCTTTCAGGATCGTGCTCTCGCTACAGTTCTATGCAACTCTGGGAGGATGGGCCTAGAGTAATTCTGCAATAGGGCCGTTCTTTTCGATTGCTGCCACAAAACAATTCGGGGTCCATGTGTGCCCAACGCGGTCAAATCTACATTCTACATTCTACAGCAAAACAAGGTCGTTGTTCGTGTGGCTCCGCTTAACTCCGCTCTGCTCTCCGGCATCATGAGCAAGAGCTTCTGTTCTCAACACAACAAAATAAGCCTCCCGTCGCTCTAATTTGATTCTTCGGCAGCAACCTCCAGAGGTGTAGGCGGCCGAGAACTGCCAATGCTGCTCGAAGATGGTAACTGAGCAGCTGAGTTATGCAGTTTGGCGACTTGTAGTCGCCTCACCAGGCGAAGCTCATCGGATGCAAGCAGTGAGCGTCACGACTTGCATCGCGCCTTTGCCGGGCCTTCATCATGAGCAAAAGCTTCTGTTCTCGGCCAAGAGCAGGATGTGACATTCGGAAGCTGCGAAGGTAAATCAATATCTTGCCTTTTTCAGGCTAGCCATGAAGCGATTTCATACGAAACCAAATAAGCCTTCTTCGCTCCATCTTGATTCTACGGCCTCTAGAGTTATCATCGCCGCCGCAGCGATGAGAGCATGTGAGCTGGCCTGTAGCTCCATGAATATCTTCCTTTGTTTCGGACGCATACGGACTGAAGCCAAGGACGGATGCTCCTGGTGGGTTGTTTTTGGTATATATGTCGGGGTCCACAGACGTGACGAACTCTCTTATGCAAAAAATCTCCGATGTTTGCTCTTGGGTAAGGCAAGCGATATATCGACGGCAAATCCTCCCGCATAATTTCTGTTGAATCCAACGGCCACATTTCGACTTTCCACCGATGTTATCAGAATGTCGGTTACTAGCCGACCATCGAGCGAGCGCGAAAGTGTGTGCAGGCTAGTTAAAGCCCTGGGATTTGCAGCCGCTCATTCGCTCAGCTCTCTCTCTCGCTGCCCCCTCTCCCCACAGCCACACTGCCATGGCACGCCTGCCAGAGACCGAACTGGAGCTGGCGCAGCTGGGCGTGTGCGGCGACGAGGAGGGTTGTCGGTGCAACAACTGCTCCCGGTCGCTGCCCGTCTCGAGGGAGAAGGCCAGCGGCCCCAACTCAAAAATGTAGTTTCGCGCCATGATCACTTGGAAGGTCCTGTACGAGCTCGTCCGCCTCTGCAACGGTGGCTATGGCGAGTACAGAAACCGCCTTGACATGTACAAGACGAAGCCACCCTCCCCGAAGGACGCCGGAGCGTAGGTCCCATATTTTTTAAAAGGAAAAGCATCCGAAGTTGCAACAGGAGCTCCGGGCGGACCTTGCGAGGATGATGCAACCCAGCGTGGCACCCCACGTTCTGTGGGACCACGCGGCAAGTCTCAACCTCCTCTTGCAAAACCTTCTCATGGAGGCAGGCACGAGTCCGGGCCGACAGAGTTTGTTTCAGAGCATTGACTTGCTGCAGGTGCTGCCGCTGGAGAAGGCGGTGGGTCTGTACCCGAAGCCGCAAGAAAAGCGCCCACCGCCTCCGAGCGACAACGCTTGTGCTCGTGGCAGCCATGACCAGAAGCCGCATGACAGACGACTTCTATGGGCAATGGCTCGTGCTGAACACGCCTTTCCGTGAAGTAGACGAACTCTGGGACGGACGTGCTGCACTCGTCCCGGAAGGCTACCGGATGTTGGCACTGTGCTTGTTAAAGAGACCCGGCTTTTGGAGACGCCCCCTGCAAGTGAAGAAAGAACTGGAACTTGCAGGGTTTCGTGAAGGGCCAATGAACAATATCTTGGCCATGTTGGATGCCCATACCACCGTCATTGACGCCTACTTGTCCGGCTCGTTGACTTTAGAGGAAGCTCCACAGCCACCCCAAGAGCATTTCGCTGCGCCGGAGCTGGGTTTTCGGGGTCGGCTGGAATCCGAGCAAGCTGCAGTGCTCGGAAACATCAAAGAAATGGTTGTCTGGGCACTTCGCCGCCGCTATCCAGACGAGGCCACCGCAGCAGCACTCCAGGAGTTTCTCGAACAGCCGGAAAGCCAACGGCCGCGCATCGCCAAGCCGTTCTGTGTGTTGGGACCCGCCGGCAGCGGCAAGTCCACGAGCGTGGAGGTCGCCATTCGCCGAGCCGTCGAAGCCGGGGCGCACGTCGGCATCGCCTGCCCCACAGGGATGTTGGCCAGCAGCTATCGCGAGAAGTTTCCGGACTTGGACGTGGACACGCTGCACGGTATGTTTCTCTTGCACAAGAACAGGCACGAGACATGGGACTGCATGGCGAACTTCGATTTGGTGGTCATTGACGAAGTGGGGCAGCTGTCGCAAGAGACTTTCGAGCGCATCCTCTGGTTGTGGGACAATGCCGACCGTCGGCCGGCACTCGTCTTCGTCGGCGACTTCCACCAGCTCCAGGGCATGGACGGCACGAGAGCCACGGACAGTGCACGCTGGCAGCACGTCGTGAAGCGCCATCTGCAGAAAATGAGACGCTGCCGGTGCGAGGAGTTGAAATGGAAGCTAGAGCTGCTGCGCACGGCAAAGCCTTCTAAAGAACAGATGCACAGCATGATCCGAGGCCACCGCGCCATGCCCGACAGAGGCCCCGGCTACAGCCAGGAACCAACCGACATGGACATGGAGGCCATGCTGGGAGACTGGCCTGATGCCACATTCGTTACTGTGACTCGCCAAGCCAGCGCCGTGCTCAACGAGTTGGCCGTCGCAGCACTCTTCAGAGACGAGGAGGCTACTGCAATCGTGCATGCAGACTACGAGAGCAATCAGGACAACTACGACGTGTTCGGACAGTTATGCGATTGCAGGCCCCAGGAATTGGAGATCCATATTGGCATGCGGGTGACTCTCACCAGGAACATCAACAAGGCGGTCGGCTTCGTGAATGGCATGTCAGCCGAGGTGGTAGCCGTCCGAGGACAGACGGTCGTGGTTCGCACCAAGTCTGGGGGCATCCTGACTGTGTTCCCTTTTACCGATGACGACATCGTCATCCAAGGAGAGCCCTGCCGTGTAACGTACTTGCCACTGCGCCTCGGCTACGCCACCACTCTCGTGAAGGTTCAGGGAGCCACGCTGTCCAGAGCAATCTTCTGGCTGGATAAGGCCAATATCCCGGCTGCCGGATACGTGGCCGTGTCTCGGGTGCAGCACGACGCCGATTGGAAATTCATCGGGCACATGACGCCGCACCATTTCACGCCAGCACGTGGAGTGTGATCAACCCTGTACAGACCCCAGCAGCCGCAGTTCTAGGCCCGCAGGGACAGTGGAGTCGATGGCCTGGCAAAATGTATCGTTTGCATCTCTCTAGATGCAAGGGACTTACTGGATTTGGATTGCTGACCCCGACATCCAAGGAAAACGAAGAATCAAATTCGTCGAAGTTTCCTGCTCGAAAAAGTGTTGACCTAGTCAGTGTAGCAGCGTGTCCTGCCATGACGACACGGATGGATGCACGAGCAAGTGGAGACGAACAGGTGCTAGGTCAACGTCTCGATCAAGTTCGTGAGCTAGAGCATGATCACAGAAATGTGCTATCTCGCTATCCCTCGGCGCATTTCTTGTTGCCGAACCCACATGACGGTCACCCAAGCCGGGACCCTTGGCAGCGTCGAGTTCACGGAGCAGACATACTGCTCCTGTCTCTCGAAGCGCCGGATCCCACTCGCTTGCGAAACGATGCTCGAAGGGTCTATGCGGAGATCTTGGAGGAAGAGGAGTACTTGCTTGACGACCTCCCGGAGGAGACGTCATTTGAACACAACTCTTCTGCGTGGATAATCACCTTTCTTGGCAAACTGCGAGTCATTGATGCCGTGGCTGGAATAAAGGACATAAACAGAAGCGTGCCTGCAGGAGGACACGCAACTCACACTGTGGTGACTCATCGCCAAACGGCACTTCGTCTTTTGGTCGCCATTCATGCCACTACCTTTGAAACACACCCGACACTCCATCGTCTCCTACCTTTTGCTGATGACGAGACGATCAGCAAGCGTGCCTGGGAACGTCAGCTATATGTAATTCGATCTCTTCTTCGTCTCGTAGAGCGATGCGATCGAACGGGGTCGCACAACTTCATTCTCGGCTACTACGTGGATACATTACGACGGCACCCAGCATTGCGTGACGCATTACCCGACCCAGCTGAAGAAGATAAGGCGCACGATGAGTGGGCCAGGGTCTTCCTCGCTGCAGTGCATAGTATAATGACCGCCGACTGAAACCAGGGCAGTGTAGCAGTGTACAGTCGATTGAAATATGAATGTGTACATTATACACCACAGAACACTTACAATCAAGATGAACGGTGCACAGTGTACAGACCCAAGTTCGAGACATGCTTGGTTGATCGCTAAAAGAGACACCCGCTCGGACGGAACCCCACAAAAGCACCAAATCCTTTGCCGGATGCCATTTCCAAGGCCCCCTTGTGTTTCTTGGATTTCCGGTTTCCAAGGCCGCCGAAAGGGGGAAACTACACAAAAGCACCAAAATCGTCGATTTTGCAATACCCGCTCCTTTTCCGGAGGCCATTTCCAAGACCCCTCGGAATTTCAGGTCTTTCCGGCTTCCAAGGCCCGAAATGAATCCCACAAAAGCACCAAAATCGTCGATTTTGCAATACGTGCTCCTTTTCCGGTGGCCATTTCCAAGGCCCCCCCTCGCATTTTCACGGATTTCCGGCTTCCAAGGCCGCCGGAAAAGGGAAACTCCACAAAAGCACCAAAATCGTCGATTTTGCAGTGCCCGCGGCCATTTCCAAGGCCCCTCGGATTTTCAGGTATTTCCGGCTTCCAAGGCCGCCGAAATGGGGATAACCCACAAAAGCACCAAAATCGTCGATTTTGCAGTACGTGCTCCTTCTCCGAAGAGAAATGGGAGAAACCTCACAAAAGCACCAAAATCGTCGTTTTTGCAGTACCCGCTCCTTTTCCGGAGGCCATTTCCAAGGCCCCTCGGATTTTCACGGATTTCCGGCTTCCAAGGCTGCGGAAATGGGGGGAACCCCACAAAAGCACCAAAATCGTCGTTTTTGCAATACCCGCTCCTTTTCCGGAGGCCATTTCCAAGGCCCCTCGGATTTTCAGGGATTTCCGGCTTGCAAGGCCGCCGAAATGGGGGGAACCCCACAAAAGCACCAAAATCGTCGATTTTGCAATACCCGCTCCTTTTCCGGAGGCCATTTCCAAGACCCCTCGGAATTTCAGGTCTTTCCGGCTTCCAAGGCCCGAAATGAATCCCACAAAAGCACCAAAATCGTCGATTTTGCAATACGTGCTCCTTTTCCGGAGGCCATTTCCAAGGCCCCTCGGATTTTCAGGTATTTCCGGCTTCCAAGACCCGAAATGGATGGTAACCCCACAAAAGCACAAAAATCATCGATTTTGCACTACGTGCTCCTTTTCCGGAGGCCATTTCCAAGGTGCCTCGGATTTTCAATGATTTCCGGCTTCCAAGGCCCGAAATGGGATAAACCCCACAAAAGCACCAAAATCGTCGATTTTGCAGTACCCGCTCCTTTTCCGGAGGCCGTTTCCAAGGCCCCTCGGATTTTCAGGGATTTCCGGTTTCCAAGGCCCGAAATGGGAAACCCCACCAAAGCACCAAAATCGTCGATTTTGCAGTGCTCTCTCCTTTTCCGGAAGCCATTTCCAAGGCCCCTCGGATGTTCACGGATTTCCGGCTTCCAAGGCTGCCGAAATGGTGGAAACCCCACAAAAGCACCAAAATCGTCGATTTTGCAATACGTGCTCCTTTTCCGGAAGCCATTTCCAAGGCCCCTCGAATTTTCAGGGATTTCCGGCTTCCAATGCCCGAAATGGGGGAAACTCCACAAAAGCACCAAAATCGCTGATTTTGCAGTACCCGCTCCTTTTCCGGAGGCCATTTCCAAGGCCCCTCGTATTTTCAGGGATTTCCGGCTTGCAAGGCCGCCGAAATGGGGGGAACCCCACAAAAGCACCAAAATCGTCGATTTTGCAATACGTGCTCCTTTTCCGGAGGCCATTTCCAAGGCCCCTCGGATTTTCAGGTATTTCCGGCTTCCAAAGCCCGAAATGGGGGAAACCCCACAAAAGCACAAAAATCATCGATTTTGCAGTGCCCGCTTCTTTTCCGGAGGCCATTTCCAAGGCCCCTCGGATTTTCAAGGATTTCCGGCTTCCAAGGCCGCCGAAATGGGTGGAAACTCCACAAAAGCACCAAAATCGTCGATTTTGCAGTACCCGTTCTTTTCCGGAGGCCATTTCCGAGGCCCTTGCATTTCTTGTGGATTTCCTGCTTGCAAGGCCGAAATGGGTAGAAACCCACAAAAGCACCCAAATCGTTGATTTTGCAGTATCCACTCCTTTTCCGGAAGCGATTTCCAAGGCGTTTTGGATTTCCGGTTTCCAAGGCTGCCGGATGGCCTTGTTGTTGCCAGATTTTGTCTGGGAGAAGCAAGTAAAACACCAGAAACCGTCCGGGAGGACACCCAAAAAGCTCAGAATTCGACAACTGTCACAAAGATCGTGGCCCTGACACGCAAACACCTCGTAGTTTTCATGGTTTTTAGCAACTTCAAGCCTAGATTCTGTCCCGGCGAAGCCATCAAAAGCCCAGAATCCGTCCGAGAGGACCACCAAAAAGCTCAGAATTCGACAACTGTCACGAGGATCGTGGCCCTGGCACGCAAAAACCTTGTATTTTGCGTGGTATTTGGCAACTTCAAAGCCTTCCCAAAAGGACAACTAGACTAAAAAGCGCGCCGCGCGCGCCCCAGAAACAAGTGTGCAGGGTTTAGGGTATTTGCCTTAATATAGCATTATTGGCGTACGCCCAGGGACAGGTCTACTGTCCCTATTGAGAACAAGTTCACGCTTGTGGTGCCACGTACGTGCTAGTTGTATTGTTCCGTGGAAGGCATGTGACCCGGGTAAGGAGCGAGTCGCAAAAGTAACGAGGGGCGCTTTGGCCGCCGCCGCTTACAAGGCGGCGGCGCTTAGGCCGGAGTTTAGGGTTTTAGGGTTTAGGGTTTTAGGGTTTAGGGTTTTAGGGTTTAGGGTTTTAGGGTTTAGGGTTTCGGGTTTAGGGTTTTAGGGTTTAGGGTGTAGGGTTTAAAGTTTAGGGTTCAGGGTTTAGGTGGAAGCCTGTCCAGATGACTTAAACACCCTTCAAAAACCCTTCACGAAGCAACTCAAGCCCGCCAAACCCTCTTCTACAACCACTTTCGTACAACCTTCATACAAAAAACCGAGACCCTAAACCCTAAACACCAAACCCTTCACCCTTACACAAAGAGCCTTACCATTTGGTTCATAGCAGGAGCTGGAGGTCGGCGAGGAAGAGCCGGAGCAGGAGCAGGAGGTTGCTGCAGAGAAGGTTCCTCGCAGGGTTTTGGGGGTCAAGGTTACTGCCTCAAGGGTAGGTTGGAAATGGGGGGCTCCTTCAAAGGGTTCTATAGTAAGGGTTTTAAGGTAATAATGGGTCCTAGGGTCTAGGGTTTCGCACAGGGGCTGAATATTTGGATTAGATTAGAACAGGGGTTGGGGATATATTGTACTATAATGCATGCACTGAGGAGGAACCCCCAAAATACCCATTTGGCTCCTATATCAGACGAGACTCCAAAGCCCGAGTGCACCCAAAGTAGGCGGATCTTGAGCAAATGGTTAGGGTTTCGGGGTTTCGGGGTTTAGGGGTTTAGGGTTTTAGGGTTTAGGGTTTAGGGGTTTAGGGTTTAGGGTTTAGCTAAGTTTCCGAGGTAGGTAAAGACATGGCCCCGCAAGTATGCAAGGCTGTTTCTCTGAGTCTACATACTTCGGAGGTCTAGGTAATGGTTCGGTACTTGGGTTTAGGATAGTAGCTTATTTGTCATAGAGTATTCGGGACAGCATAATATATGGGTGATTGTCAAAATTATGATCCCTTTTTCGGGGTACCCTAAAGAATAGGTGCCGTATTATAATAAGGACCCAAAAAGGGACCCCAATTTTGACAACCACCCATATGATTTTGGGGTACTTGGACCTTTAGGATGCCCTCCTTCTCCGAAGAGTCTTACATTAAGCGTCCTAGGGAAGGATGTGATAGGCCGGGATGGGATAGGATAGCAAAGGGTATACACGTAACAAAACAGAGGAGTTTAGGAATCTGTTGGGTTTGGGCCGGTTGGGGGAGGTTTCAGGTACTAGGTGAGATGAGGCGAAATCTAAGTTTCAGAGAATGCAGGACCGTACTGTAGAACTTTAGTGGTTGTTGAGGGTGTAGGCTTTAGGGCAAGTCTAGAAAGACCCCCTTCCACCTGCCTCAAAACCAGAACGTCGCTTGAAGCCCTCAGCTTTCTGAATCCTAAAGCTCGGCATGCCCCAACTCCTTGGGGTAGGCTCAAGGCTTTAGGGCTTTTATAGGGGCCTGAACAATGACTGGTACCAGATTTGTTAGAGTTCCTTACTGTACTTAGACTAGCCCCCAAAACCCCAGTCCAACTATTGAGGGCCCCTACATGACGGCTCAGGGACTTCTTAACCCCGAAACCCTGATCCCCTAAAACCCTAAACCCCGAAACCCCTAAACCCCTAAACCCCAAAATAAAAGCAATCCAGGCCTCCTCCGGGGAGAAGAAGAAGAAATCTTACCTGTTCCTCGTCACAAACAGAGAGGGCGTTTTGGGGTTGAGGTTGTTGCGGGTGCTTAAACCGTCAGCTTGTTGAGAGTTATGGGGCATAGCCCTAAACCCTAAACCCTAAACCCTAAACCCATTCAGGGCTTAGTGTTTACTGTTTCGGACTTGGGGCTTCGGGGCCTTGGAGGTCCAGGACTTGGGACCCTTAAAAGAACTCTTGAAGAAACCCCTTACAGGAACCCTTCAAGGGCTTTTGGTGGAGTTGGGAGCTTTTGGTCTCAAGGCTCCTTCAAAAGAACGTGCTTTAGTGTTTAGGGTTTAGGGGTTTAGGCCGGGTTAGAGGGCTTTGTTCGGGCTTATTTTGAGGGTTTAGCAGGACCACATACCTCGCGCAAGCACACGCAAACGAAGCTGCAAAGGCATGTGACGTAGCAAGCGCGATCTTGCCCCAAGCCCTCTTACTAAGGCTCGCACGCCTTCAACCAAAATCCCGAAGCCGCACGCCTTCAACCCACCAAGCCCTAAACCCCAAGAGCCAACCCCAACGAAGCCTAGAACCTGAGCCTATTGACAACCGACCCGGTAGAAAGACTTTTGGACCCCACCAGCCGGAGAAAAGGCCAGACTAGAAGGCGCACAGAGCTACTGTGACCCTTATATCGTGGGGAGTAGAGTGGCTTAGAGCCCTTGTGATCACGGCCTGTGGGTATTTACGGCTTACAGAGCCCTAGTAACCCTTTCGGGTAGGCTGGCTATGCGGAGTGGTGTTTAGGGTAGAACATTAGAGTGTCTATAGAGCCCTATTGGATGGAGGATGTACAGAGCACTTCTGGTCAATGACGGTCACTTGTGGCCTTCAATTGTGGTATTAGAGTAGAAAATGATAGAAAGCAGGTGCTTATACCTTATGGTTCCTTGAAAAGGTTGGACCCGCAGCTGGACAAATTGAACCTCTCGGGGCTTCTGAACGTTCTCGATGGCGTCGTTGATACCCCCGGGCGCCTGGGAACAATGGGCGTTTTTGAAGGGATCGTGGCGGGTTTAATATAAGGGCCTTAATAATTAGAATAGGGTTTTGGGGCCCATTATGCTATAAACTATATAATAAGGACCCCCCAGAATAGTATAGGAATTATCAAGGCAACTATATTAGAGGGTTTTGGGCTTCGTCAATCAAAGAGTCTCGGATTGGGGCTTAGGGTGTTTAGGCTGAGACTCGGTGCGCGTTTTCCGCCCCTAGGGTTTTGGGTTTTGGGGTTGGATTATTATGATTATTTATGAGTATAATGTATAATTATTATTATTGTTATTGTTATTACTAGTAGTATTATTATTGTTATTAGTAGTATTATTATTGGGAGTCTGGAGTTTTTGGGTTGTTCAGGTTTCGGGCTTTAGAGTTGAAGGGGCCCCCACCCTGTAATAGTGGTATCATAGGAATATAGTAGGGCCCTAACATAATTAATCCTTATAGTCACTATTACAGGGTGGGGGCAGCTTCTAAGCTTTAGGGTTGAAGGTTTAGTGTTTGGGGTTTAAAGTGTTGAAATCACTACGAGCACGCTCTAAAAGGCTACCGGGTTGGAAAGTACTTCGGCCAAAGGTTGGTATAACCATTTAGCCACCGAAATCCTAAAACTTCAAGTGGCCGACACTCCGAGCTCTATGCCCATCTTCCTAAGACGATTTCGGAGTTTCCGGAAAATAGGGGTACCTTGTTTGGGGTCCTTGGTACAAGGATCCTATATTGGGGTCCCCTATTTTCGGAAACTCCAATTTTTGAAAAGATCCGAAAGCCACAAGCTTCAAACTCCACGATCCCAGAGCCCCAACACCACCGTTCAAGAGAGGCCGGTTGAGTCAGGGTTTAGAGTTGAGGCCAAGGTTCGCAGGTGAGATACATCAACACGGCATTTCTATGATGTCGTGGTCGGCTGCTGTGAAGTATAGTCGTGCCCTGAAGCAACTCTCAACTCAAGAGCCAACCTTACCAAACCCTGATAGACCCTAAACCTTGTATGCACTACACCCTAAACCCTAAACGGACCCTCAACCCTAAACCCTACATGCACTAAACCCCTAAGCCCTAAGCAGACCCTAAGCCCACATCTGAATTCCTGAACACAATACATACCCTGCGCCTTATTCGGACGCAGCTCGTGCTTCGATGCGGAAGCGGCTTTTCTCGGGCTGTGGTGAGGAATACCTTGCAACCCCAAACCCCAGGCCCAAAGCCGGAAAAAGCGGGAAAGGCCTAAAACTCTCAATCCTAAACGCTTTCCCTTGAAGCCCGAAGCCCTAGCCACTAAGCCCTTCACACCTCAGCTCTGAACCCTAGATTTAGATCTTAACCCTTAAACTATCGTCTCCTTAGGAAATATTTTGTTGATTTTGCTCCTATAAAACCAAAGAGAACATTAAGCACATGATTTTTTCAATATGGTTCTAAGGAGGGGGTACGGGAAGCCCCACGCCCTAGACCCCAGCCAGGAGAGTCGTCGTGATGACCACAAACCATCCGGAGAAGTTGGACCCAGCTCTGATACGGCCGCTTTGTCATAGTTGCGTAACATTCTACATTTTATGGGTACTTAAATCCAATAAGGAGTAAAAAATGTTTTACATTGTATGGGTACTTAAATCCAGTAAGGAACAACAAATGTAGAATTTTAAACCTCTCCCACCCATGAACTAGGCCGGGTCGCATCAACAAGCGCATCCACTTGGGCTTCGTGGATGCTCGGCTCTTTAAAGGGATCTATAAGGCTACCAATGTAGGTACTACAAAGGTAGTATAAGGGTAATATGTTTCGGTCAAGGGTTTAGTGTTTAGGGCTTTAGGGCTTTGGGGCTTTAGGTTCTAGGGCTTACGGTGTAGGTTTGGAGTTTCGTGCTGCCCGAAACACCCTTAAGGCCTTCAGGCTTAAAGCCTAAACCCCACCCCAAGCCTCAAACCCTAAACCCCCAGGCGTCTCGGCTCTAGCGTAGTTTCCCTTTGGGTCCGCTAGTCCGCAGTACCCCAAGTGTGGCCCTCCGGCAAGCTTCGGCATTGGGAGGAGCCCACGACATCCACCACTGACCTTTAGCCATTCATTGCTGCTGTTCAATCAGCCAATATTTGGTTATTTGGTTTCAGTGCATGCGCCTCAGCCCTGCAGCGTACAGGTTTTGGTGTATTTTTCTGGTAAGCACAGCTGCAGCGAGCGCCTGTGCTCCTACCACCGCCCGGGACAACGGTTTTTCGGGTTACAGAGAGTGCCTCTCACCGCCGCAGGAGAAGGGCGAGAACGAGAGCGCGGACTCTGCTCAGGGGAGTACTTGGTGGTCAAGTTGTGTGGAACAGAGCCTGCAATCGCGCGTTGCGACTTCTGGAGGCCCACCACTCAGACTCGGTGCTTCCTGGACAGATCTACAAGTTTTTTCGCCGACCGGCCCCTTTAAGGGTGCCGCTTGCCAGCCACACTGCGGAAGCGATGTCCACTCCGTGGAGGTGCGGGCAGTGCAAGGTCATGGTGAAAGCCGCGGCAGTTTACTGTGGCAAGTGTGGCGGCCATTGGCAACGCTGCATGGAACCCAACTACTGGACACCGCCGAAGGGCGTACCGTGGCGGCAACAGGCTGGTTGGGAGGCTACTACGCGGCCGCGCAGTGCCTCTCCTCGGAGGAGGAAGAACAAAGGGGGGCGAGGTCAGGGTCGCGAACCTACGACCGCCCCGGAAGCTCCCGGGGAGAACGAGCAGCGATTCCCGAGACTTGGGGACTTGCCCCAGCCGCCAGTTCCCAAGCTTCCGGCCAAGCCTCTTCCCCCTCCTGCTCCGGCGCAGGCAGCAGAAACGGGCGAGGACAAGAAGATGATCGCCGAGCTCCTTGCTCTCATTCCCCACGACCAGCTACCTCCAGAGCTTCAGAAGAAAGTGGGTCAAGTGACCCAGGACGAGGCTCAGTTGCAGGGACGACGGATGCATCAGCTCGTCACGGACAAGACCAAATGCCGCAAGGAGCTGGAGAAACTCAAATCCGATCGCGCGGCTTTCTCCTCTGCGTGGGCACAGTATATTGCACAACTGCTTCAGACCCTCGAGCAGCAAAGCGAGGCCAGGCTGCATGCCATGGAAGCCTTTGCCACGAGGGAAGCAGAGCTGACTGTCCGGCTAGCCTCGGTCACCCAGCAGCTCGCCGCAGCCGCGGCGGACGTCACAACCGATGGTGCCAGCAAGGAGCCAGTCGAGGACGAGGAAGCCGACATGGAGGAAGCGGAGCACATGGTAGCTACAGCGGCAGCTATCGAGTCGGAGGTGCGCGAGAAAAATCGCGCAGCCCAGGCCAACTTCCAGGAGCAGCGCGCCAAGATTTTGGGGCTCCTGGAAAGTGCACAGCAGGAAGCCGCCGATTCGGCCGCCCACTCCACGAGAGACGGCAGCAGAACACCACGGCGCAAAAAGGACGACAAGGACCAGAAGGACCTTGCAGGCGGCGGAGGGAAGGGCCATTCCGAGGCCTCCGATGCTGTGCTCCCTGGAGAGGCCCGCACACATGCCTGAATGGATGGTGCGGGCCAAAGGCCGTTCCCTTCATCACCAGCGTGGTGATGGAGGTTGATTACGTTTCAGCAGAGCTCGCCGATTTTCTTGCGTGCAATCTTGAGTTGGAGGTGCAATTGATGGGCTGTGGCTTGGACCACCTGCTCCCCTTTCTTGAGGACCCTCGACTCCAAGATCTCGGCGACCAGGACAGCCAAGCACACTGCTTGGCGGGCCCAGCAGAAGACTTCATGGTCCGCTCAGGTATTGAAAGCGTGGATCCTCTTTTCCAGATTCTTACGGTGACCATGGACAGGCCCGTAATTGAGTCAGAAGCAAGAGGGTCCCGCTCTTCTCAGGCTGAGCGTGACATGGAGTCACAGCTGCCGATTCTCTTCCTGAGACCGGCCTTAGGTGTGTCACGCCCGGAGAAACTCCGGAGCATTGTACATTGCCAACCTCATCCTGTCCCTTTCCGGGTCTCATTTGTACAGTGCTTGCAGACGCAGATACGGCTAATCCTTGCCAGGCAGATCGCCTCTGCCACCAGTGTTGCTGGACGGGCCCTAGAGCTCTCCTCACGCAAGGTCTTTCTATGCAGGAAGGGCGGTTCCATGTCGGACCCTACTGCATTTTGTCAGCCCTCGCACTCCCAAGCCGCAGGTGTGCAGCACACGGCCCCGTTCATGGGTGCCGTTTTTCCTTGTCTGTCAAAGGGCGGTTCCGTGTCGGACCCTGGGCAGATCCTCGCGGCAGCCGCCGACCATGTGGTGAAGCATGTGCACCCTGCTGGTAGCACTGCTGCTGAGGGCTCCTGTGCTGAGCCTCAGCATGGCGGAGCCGGCAAGGGTTCATCGGGCTCGGGCATCTCGACCATACGGGGGTTCATGACTGCTAGGGTCGATATTTTCCCCGGGGAATATGACCGCCCTGAAGTACGATGCCAGACACTTGCTGCCCTCTCTTGGTTTGCTGGTCATAGAACGGCAGGTGCATCTGCTGATGAAGCACAACAGGATCGCTTCGTGCTTTTCGATACTAACATGCATGCCGCATGCCAAGGGGATGCACTCTGGATTTGCTGGTCCAGGAAGTTCATTCCTTGGTCCCGGGTCTGAGGGCAGTACGCTTGCTTGTGGACAGGCTGGACTTCTTTCCTGCGGTCCAAGTTGTCGCAATCACGAGGTCAGATCCACCAGGCAGACCGGTGCTTCCTGTCGATTTCAGGCCCGGTCTTGGCAAGGTCTGCACGGTAGCTCTTTCCTTTGTTGACCAGGATGAGGATGTCCTCCAGCTTTGTGAGAGGGTGTGCCCACCGGACAGACTGCCACAGACTCCGTTGCAGCTGCACACTCCTGCTGGCGAGCCCTTCCAGAGAACCGGTGCCAGAGACATGCCTGACTTCCTCCTTGGTCGGGTTCCTGTTCTTCCTCCTGAGCCTGACCCGGACTCGCCTATGGGGCTGCCAGTTGATGATGACACAGCCCTGCTTCAATTGGGGTTAGGTGCTCCTTCTTCTGCGGAAATCAGCCTTGCAAAGGGCAAGGATGCCAGTCCGGGGCTAACCGGGTCCTTTCCATTATGGAACCGGGTCCTAGGACTTAGTGTGTTCTTGTCCTAGGACTTATGATGTTGATGTGACATGGAATGTAGCAAGACATGTGTTCTTGTGGCTCAATGGAAGACATGCTGGACATGTGAAAACTTGTGTTCTTGCGGCTCAATGGAAAACAAGACCTGAAAACTTGGTCTCTTCCAAATGGAGATGCATACCTGAAAAACTGTGTTCTTGTCGCTCTATATGGAAGAAGCGAGATGCTGGACATGTATAAAAAGATGTGTGCTTGTGGCTCGATAGAAAAATCAATGCCTGAAACTTGGTTTGATCGAAATGTGAAACATATACATCGAAAAATCAAAGCCCTACTGATATAATTGCCTGTCCCAAGTTTTGTAGTTCACATGGAAATTAAAGTTGCCAAAAAAATGAAAATACGTTTATGCCGAACAAACCAAACAAATGTAACTTGGTGTTCTTGTGGCTCAACGGAAACAAAAAGCTTGAGATTTTGTGTTCTGAAACCCTAAAGTCAGCTGTTTGTACGATTCAGAACAACTTGAAAATTAGCATGTTCATGATTAAACATGAAGGGAATCTGAACTTTCGTAACGTCCAGCCCATGCCCTAAACCCTGAACCCTAAACTCTAAACCCACCCAACCCCCAAACCCGCCCACCCATTCAAGCCCAGAAGCTGCAGGTAGGAAGGGGCACACAGGTAGGTAGAGAGGTATAGTTAGGTAGGCAAGTAGGTATGGATAAGTAGATAGGCAGGAGGGAAGGTACTTGTAGGTGTAGGTGCGTCGGCAGGCTTCCAGGTCGGTAGGTAGGTAGATAGATAGCTAGGTAGGCGGGCATGTAGGTAAGGAGGAATTATGAGGAAAGAGGTTTAAAACCCCTAAACCCCTAACCCCTAAACCCTGAACCCTAAATCCAAAACCCGAAACCCTAAACTAACCTTCAACCCTAAAAGGTAGCAGGCAAAAGTAGTTGTAGGCATTCGTGCAGGCCCTGTCAGGATGTCAGGTGGCCACATCAAGGTCTTCGGAGCCCCGTACAGGGGCGTACCCGCGCCAAGGCCTGAATGGGCCGCGGGATGAACCCCGAATAGGGGTGAGCTTGGACCCCGAAGAGGGGTCGTCGGAGCCCCGTACAGGGGCGTACCCGCACCAAGGCCGAAAGGGCTGCGGGATGAACCCCGAAAAGGGGTGAGCCTGGACCCCGAACAGGGGTCGTGAGAACCCCGTGCAGGGGTGTGGATGAACCCCGAACAGGGGTGAGCTTGGACCCCGAACAGGGGTCGTTAGAGCCCCGCACAGGGGCGTACCGATGAACCCCGAAAAGGGGTGAGCCTGGACCCCGAACAGGGGTCGTGAGAACCCCATGCAGGGGTGTGGATGAACCGCGAACAGGGGTGAGGATGAACCCCGAGCAGGGGTGAGCCGGACCCTCAAAGACTGATGCAGAGAGAGAGAGAGGGAGAGAGAGAGAGACACAGCGAAAATAATTAACGAAGCAAGGAAGGAAGCAAGGAAGGAAGGAAGCAGGGAAGGAAGAAGGAATGATCAAGATGAGGGTGTGACTGTAGATGCGAGGAATGAGCAGGCAGCAAGGAGTGATGTGAGGGAGGCGGGAAGGGAAGGAAGAGAAGGAAAGTCATGCATGGCATCAGTATCCCTCTGCTCACTTTCAGTCTGTCGGCGGCCAGGCTGAGACAGTCTGCGCATCGAGATCCTCGAAGAGCCCCGGCCTAAGCCACACGGCCTTCCAAGACTTGACGGCTGCACCATGGGTTGCTTCCAAGCTCAACATGTTGAACTGCAGCAGCTTTTCAGCTCAAGATTCAACGCGATCGAACCGTTTTTGTCTGAGCGAGTGTACTCCGACTGAGGCGATTGTCCTCATGCAAACAAGGCAGTATTATTGACATGCGCATACACGCAGATCGTCAAAGACACGACTAGGAAAGAAGTGCCCCAGTTCGACGTACTGCCACGGAAGTGCAGCAATGGATCGAACGGATTTTGGCAGGCTTCATGGACCTGAAGGAAGTGACGATGACGATCGAACGACTCCTTATCATTCGGATGATAGCGATGGTTCCGCGGCCGATGCCACTACGGAAATGGAAAGAAACATGTTTACGAGAGAAGAATTCCAGCGAATCTGCACCGACCTGGTGCTGGGATGTGTCATGATGAACTTGTCAATGGGATGGCAAATGGAGCGGGCTTTTTTGAGCGATCGGCAACTACGAAGTTTGCTACAGCACTTCCAAACCAAGCACAACAGACGCGGATCCTCTGCAGGTGATATTGTGGAAGCAGGTTTACAGGAACGGATTCCAACAATGCAGAAAGTACGCATGGTTCGACAATGCGACGTACTCCAAGGAAAGTTGCGAATGGAAGTGAACCAGGTAGATGCAGAGAGATTGCGGGGCTTGGTTGAGCAGCCTCCCGGCTGGGATTGGGATTTGCCTGATCGAGGAACCATGGAAAGGCTTTGCGAGGGCATTCTGGCCAACTCGTTTGAGTTTGAACGGATTCCAGTGACGGATGCTAGACGGATGGCAGTTCAATACTGCGAGGTCATCCGTCCACTGTTCGCTGTGAGATTCCTGTCAATGGTGTTGCTGGGCATGCGGGACACGTACAGAGATCAGCTTTGGTTTCTGCTTCGCAGGCATGGAAGAGTCCTGAACGTATAGACGGACTGTACGTATACGCAGTCTCCGAAAAACTTAAAGGGACTGATGTACGGAGTACGGATACACAGTCTCACAATAAACCAGCAATGGCGAGAAAAAACGTGTCACTTGCTTAACAAATTGCTTGACGCGCCTTACTAAATTGCTGGACCTAAACCCTGAACTCGTCGACCTGAGGTCAAGCCTTCTTCATGCCAAATTCGCTTGCAAGATCGACATTGTGTTTGGAGGCTCGTCCGGCTGCTCATGTTTGCATAAACCCTAAACCCTAAACATCCGGCCGGTACCACTACAAGATTGCGCGCCCGGCACGCGTACGCCTCAACGCCCGGAGCGCGTTCGCCTCAACTCCCGGCGCGCAGACCTGTGCACGTTGCAAACAGACTAAAGAATTGTATTATCACGTCCGGCACGCCCGGCGTGCACCCGCTGCGCGCCCGGCGCGCGCCCGCTGCACACCCGGCGCGCGCACCCTGGGTATATTTGGTTTTGGGTGGTAATAAACGACCGCCACATGTCATTCCTGCGCGCCCGTCGCAACCCGCTGCGCGCACATGTGTAAATTCTGTTGCAAGCATAATATTATGGAATAGTGTAAATATAGTATAGTACACGCTTACACTTCGCGCGTACGCCTGTACGTGCGGCACGCGCCCGC